GGATTCGCTGGTCGTCACCGACCCAACTACTAATCCGCCCCTTACCAGCTTGACTATGGGAGAGCGGACGGGATCCCGTATTTTCTGGTAGGTATGGTCGTATGTGTCAGGTCAGTCATTAATTGTGACTCATATCCCACCTGACCGCCGGGCTTAGGACCTGATTTTCTTTACATGTTAGAGAAGAATCCTCACGGCTAATGTCAAAACTCGCTAGTGATCTTGAAGATCACCTATGCACTGACATTCGTACTTCTTAAAGAAGTGGAGTCATCTGTCTCTGTGCAGAAAAGTTTCTTTTCGCTTGCTATGTTTGTCTGAGACACGGTTGTTCGACAGGCCTGTGCATAGAGCCGACACTCAATCTACAGCATACACTTGGCTTTGCAGCATCGAAATGAATTTAAATTACATGGAGCTTCATCTTGCCACTGGCATGTGTATTGTTACTAAGACAAAGTGATGGACGTGTGTCACAGTATATGCCGCTAAACAGCAGGTCGTTGTTGCAGAACAAGTCACAGGAACACCATCGAGAAGGATCCCGTCTGGAAATACGGTCTCGAGGACATTTCGTCTTACTCTAATCCATATCTTATTGGATCTTCTACGGCATTGTCATCGCTGTTCAAGAATCTTCATATTCCATCAAGAGACGCTTTCTCTTGTGCATCCATTTTGCCATCGGATAAGCCGCTGAACTAGCATCGGGACCGAACGGGTATCACCACAATGTCCAACAGTAATGGATCCGTCGCCAACCGTACTCTGGAAGACTCATCTGAAAGAGCCGTTTTTCTCAACGTAGTACACTTTTCAGCCTTATGATCCGGCACCTACTCAATCGGTGTTGGTTGTTGAACTGTTACCCTGAAGACTTCCCGATTTAGCTTAAGTCGTGAATGTCCCCAATTTCACGACTTGATGTTTCGGACCCGCAATGCTGAAGATGCGCCTTTCATCCTTAATAAAAGAATGTAGGGTCATATCGTTCGGAATCTCCTCAACTAGAAACACTAATCGTGTTCTCTGCATCAAGGGTTAATTAAGGTGGTCGAGTCCTGTCGACGCTCGTTTCACCACTTTCCAAATGGCAAATACTGTGAACGTGCGGTCTGATCCCCATAAAAGTGCGCTGTAACGGTCCAACCCCACAGTATGAAGAAGCAGAGGACACACGGCCGCCCGGGCCCGAGATCATGAAGCTGAAGCCGGATGAAACCTCAAACATCGGTCCTCAATTTCTGCATAGCGCTAGAAGACAAGTATGGCCTAGTGAAACTGGTCTAGTGCGATTATAGGAATAGCTGGTTTATAAGCTGGAAACAACCATGCAAGGGTCCAGATTGAACTTTTGCTGCAAAGGGTAGGTATCTCCTGTAATTAAGACACCGTCAAACATCGCCCCCTTCGATCTGTTGTATAAATAACTGCCACCGGTCCTCTCTTTTTTGCGTTCTCTAGATATCTAACATTCATTCGCTTTCCAGCTTCAATTAATATTAATTATTACTCTACATCTCTCCAACTTCATCATGCGTTCAGCCATCATCATCGCTGTCGGCGCCACTGCCGCTGCCGCTACCAACACTGCCCTCAACAAGCGCGACGCAGACGAATGCACGTCGCGAGCCATGGCCTTCCTTCCCGAAATCACTGGCCTTCCCACCCCCACGGGATCTCTTCTCTCCTTCCTCGCCACCGAGACCAAGCTCGCCACATACACAGGCAGCTGCGACTTCCCCAGAATCACTGGCGCCATGGCCAAGGAGTACACTTCCTTCGTCGAAGATCTCAGCTCCTGGTACAAGGACCACAAGAGTGACGTGTCCGAGATCATGGCAGCTTGCTCAGATGTTCCTGAGATTAAGTCTCAGATTGATGAGCTTAAGGGCTACGGCGCAATGTGCAGCGAAATCACTTGGGAGGGTGCCAAGGAGTCTGAGGCTGCTAAGAGCGACTCCGATGAGAAGGACGGCGACAGCAAGGACTCCGAGAAGAAGGATGGTGACAGCGGTGCTGGTCTTAACTCTATCAAGGCTGGTATCGTCGTCGCTATCGCCGGTCTTACTGGTGTCATGATGCTGTAAGCAGCGTCTCTCGATGTCCATGAATTACAGGGGAGGATTATACCCGGGGTTGAAGGTTCTGTTGTCTTGTTTACCTAGCGTTGGAGTATCAGTGTCTACATTTTCATAATCTCTCAATAGAAGTCTTCTGATTTCTCAATCTCATCTGCTGTGACTGCAAGAGTGTCCTGATTGAAATTTGGAGTTGAACGATGTATGGGTGCTAGTAAGACGCTCAGTGTCTCGGATACCCGGCATCGCGGCACTGAGAGATCCGTGATCTAGCGCTATGATCAGTGGTGTAATCTCCCGACAGGCACCCTGTGACCGCAGCTAAGCACTAACAGGCGCTAATGTCACTGATCTACATGGGAGTCTCAACCCTGGCCTGTCCTGCATGTTTTCAACGCGATAGCCATGCCGACAGACATGGTTTATTCCTTATCTTCGTCTATTATTGTAATTGCAAAATCTTATTCTTATAACGAGACACAGTGCAAGTGTATCTCGTGTGTAATTTCGTTAAATCCGGGCTGCGGGCTTAATATCCGATTTCAGATGTGTCTCAAAAAGTCAAAAGACAACGCGAAGAAATTGTCTAACAAATCGTCACCCGGATCATTGACTGCCGTCTTCGCCGGCCATACATGTGCGTCCGGCCACTTGTGTTTCCCAGTTGTATCTGTTGAAGAGGCAACGAGCTTTGCGGATGGGGTTTTGTTCGATTCGTCGCAGCTTTCATCGTGGAAGCCCGAATCAACAAAGCTAGCTGGGGTATTTACTCCAACAGAGGCCTTTTCCAGGAATGACCATTCCATCGCATCTTCAGCTGTATTGGGATTCATATACGCATCACCAGATGACTCGTTTTGTGCAAGCTGGTACGTAGGTGAAGGCGCATCCTTCATAGAGTCTCGTAAATGCTTTAGAACTATTATACGTGTCAGCGATGGGTTTCAAGAGACAAGATTACAAGGGAAGACATACCAGTAAAGTCCGGGTCTTCTATCTGGCCCAGGTTTTGAAATTGATTTGAGAGTGGTGTGTCAGGAGTAGTTTCTTTTGCTTTGTTCTTATAACAGCCATCTTGCTGAATCTCCTTCTCTTGCTTGATGTGCGCTATTCTTTTCTTCCTTGTTCTATAACGTTTTAGTAAAGGATTGATGGCTGGAATAGATTGAGGAACTCACGGAGACTTGCGAGGTTCTATCACAACACATTCTGTCGAATTCCATATACAATTGCTGCAAGATGAAGGTGACTGCCTTGTAACATCACATCGGACCTTTCGAGATCGACATGAAAGGCATGCTCGTTTGGCCCTGTTCGCTCTCCGCTTTTTGGCTATGGCTTGGGTCGAAGTCAATACTTGTGTATCCGTGATATAAGACATGCTGACAATGAAATACAGATTCCGTGAGATTTAAAACTGCAAATATTACACCGGACGAACGCCATTTATAAAGAAACCTTCTCCATCATCGTCATCAACGATCTTGGACTCGTTCAGTCTAGCGTTACATGTCTTCCCCAAAGAAAGCGGATTTTCCGTCCTGCCCCCGTCTCCCCCGCACTCCCGCAAGCCGAGCACGGCATTAAATAACCGTGCTACCCGCGTCAACAACCGCGCTCCTCCCTCTTCCTGCAATCCTTCCCACCAACGCACCCAGAAAGTGATTAGTCGTAATGTCTGACTCCCAAGACGATTCTGACGGCCAGGAAAGTCGCCGAAAGAGAATTCGCCAAGCTTGTCTCAACTGCAGGAGGAAAAAGGTCCGATGCACTGGGGAGAAACCTACTTGCAGCTTCTGTACGAGACTTTCACAGGAATGTGTTTATGCTGAGGATAGAAGGAGTTGGAAGCGAGCGCCTATTACCCTTGAGGTTGGAGATGAGGAAGTGACTGCTGCTGCGATGGTGAGTTCATATGGTGGTGATATGATGGTTATTAATTGGTGGTAGGATACTATCAATGCGAGATTTGCTAGTCTTGAGAACCAGATCTCGACACTGCAGGATACTATCGAAAAGTGAGACCCATATTATGCTTACATGTCCAATACTGACCAGGATATAGATTGATACCGCTTGTCGCTGACCAAAAGCCTGATGAGACTGGAGTGCCGAGCAAACGTCCTATTCGTCACGTTCCAGCCAGATCTACTCCATCGGCCATCCTTCAAACTCCAACACCCTTGACAGTACAGTCACCAGTACCTGACCGTCCCCAATCACGGTCTCTTTCTTTTGCGGCAGATATATACTTCCGTTTTTGTCACAGTCAGCCCTACGCCCTCTTCCATGAACCGACCTTTCGTCAACGGCTAGCCGACGACTCGCTTCCTTCTTATCTATTATGGGGCTTCCTATCTGCAGCGAGACGTTATTCTAGTCTTCCTGTTCCGCAGCCCAATTGTGCTGATGATGCATCGGCGTATGCAGCCAAGGCTTGGGAGTGTATGGATCTTCCTTGGCATGCTTCCGCTTCAGCTGAGAATGTCCTTACTGTTATTCAGACGATTATCCTGATTGTGAGCACCGAAGTGCCAGGTAGGTCCACATCAATATGCGTTGTGTCTGGGCATTTTACTGATATGTACGAACAGCTGGCCTGTGTACACCAGCTCATATGAAACTCGGTTTTGCTGTCCGTCTAGCCCAGAATCACAAACTTAACCTTGAACCCGACACATCAATACCTGTCGCCGAGCAGGAGGAACGCAGAAGGACCTTCTGGTCGTTATACTTACAAGACAAACTAATCAGTCTATCCCGCGGCCGATTCTGCGCAATCAGAGATGAAGAGTGCAAGCTCTCTTTACCATGCTCCGAAGAGGCTTTCAGAGAAGGTCGAGAAGAGCACACACCACTGCTGGAGGAACTAATTGGAGACTGTGTGGAGCAAGAGTCGGTTGACAGTTGCTGTCCACTCGGACTAATCATTGTCATGGCCTCGATCTTGGGCCGTGTCTCTCATTATGTGCTACATGATACGAAAGCTCTACAGCCGAGTCTTCCTTGGAATTCAACATCACCCTATGCCACATTATCATCTGCCCTCCTTCAGGCAGAGCATTACTTTGCCATGAACGAGGATACCATGGAGAGCCTCCAGACACGCTGCACCATCGACGGTAGTATTGATCAGCTCCTCGCAGGGTCTTTCATATTCGCCAAAGCCATGTTCCATTTATCTCACTGCCTTCTCCATCACCCTTTCCTACTCCAGCAAAGATTACAGTCAACAAAGCAGAAAGCACCATCGATATTCATGAAGACTACTTGGGAAAAGTGCAGGACACATGCCAAGAGTATAACGGAGCTCATGGAAATGAAGAGTCAGAATGTTCTTCTCTTGACATCGATCTATGGTTACTGTATCATGGTTGCGGGAACCATTCATGCTTTGTCCATAAATGATGAGAGGGAAAGTATTAGGACGGAGAGTCGGGAACATTATCATGCTTCAACAGAGTCTTTGCAGGACTTATCACGATACTGGGGACACGCAGCACTCATGGTAAGTTGACCCTAGGTCTATTTTTCAGATATATAGCTGACACTTCACAGGTCAAGAGATTGGAGCGATTCCACAACCAATGCGAGACCCGCGGTCAAGAGCTTTCGCCATGTACCACAAACGTGGAACGAACACCAGGAGACGTCAAGGCTCTGTGGCAAAGCGTCGACTACACATCACTATCTACACCCACAAGACCAGGAAGTCCTACAGCACCAGCACCCCCGACCAGTGAGGCGGACTGGGCTCTTTCGTCAGATATGTTTGATTTTACGGGCTTCGGTGGATTTGCGGAGGGTGTTGATGTTTTCAGCATCTCGTTTGTTGATGGTGACATGATGTTGGATGGAGAGATGCCGACAGATATAGGTATTTGATACTATTTATCCAAATTGGTGGGGTTTCAGTGATGGTGGCTTGAGCTAAAGATTGCATTACTGCATCAACCATTGTCTCTCAGTAAAAGAATTGGTCCAAGGAGGCATAAGAAAGAAAATAATACAGTCACTTAATGACATCTTAAACAAGCATTTAGGGTACCATATTATGGTAGCCTAAGCCTCAGGTAATAATTCTTTTGTTACTCATCTGATCGGCTTGCAGAGAAATACGAAAATAGCTACAACACGCCACAGAAAGACTAGACAATCGACTCAAACCACACAATGCTGTATCACGAGGGGCAAAAAGAGAAAACGACCAAAAAGATCAGCTGTGTCAATCGACCGCGGCAGGAGTCGAACCTGCAATCTCTAGAGAATTTGATTTTGGTGAACCGAAATCTAGCGCCTTAGCCATTAGGCCACGCGGCCTGATCAAGTTGTATGACTGCGGACAACAAATCTGCGTCCAAGGATGGCCGACCGCCGGCGCTCACATATGGTGGTCTTGGGCAAAGATGACGAGCGTTCATTGTTGTGGTGCTATGGGTGCTTGGTGAAACTGCAAATCGATTCGTTCATTAATCATAACCTAGACTGCGCTATTGGGTATGTCCTCAATTTGCGAAAATGCTGCAATGGCCTATACCTCCCTGACTGGTTCGCTGCTTAAAGAATAGCCTGTACTCAAAGCGTGTTCCTGAACTAGCGATAAAGCTTCACTGGCCTTTAAATCCTTCGTAGGAGCGCTTTCGCTTCTTGGGCAGTAGCGGCCGCAGGCCTGACGTGTCGACTGGAACAGGTAGCTCCTTAGGCGGTAGCGGCAGCAGGCCTGATGTGTCAACCAAAAGAGGACCTTGGTTCCGCTCCTAGCTGGTTTCGTGTTGCCCAACAGACGGCTGTATCATATCAGTCGGTTGTATGACAGGGTGATGCCAAGATGGGAATGTGAGTGTATTGTCTCCAACGTCGGGTGCATTGAATGATGGGTTCGGGGTTGGGTAGTTGAACTGGGGAGCTAGGTTAGCAGATTCGAATTTGGGAAGATAGCCGGCGCCCGCGTACACATGCGAAGGTGGGAGGGCAGGATTTGGAACGAAGTTCCCATATCCAGACGGGGATGAGTTGAAGTCATACTGATAACCAGATGCTGGCTGAATAGTGAATGACTGGGCAGGGCCCCAGGGGAACTGTCTGACGTTCTGATCGACTATGCGGCGGATATTGCCACTCCCCCACAGGTGAAGACTGGCCATATCTCCGATGATTGGGTTGTCGGGATCCAATGCATCCCAGGGCTTGCCACGATCGTTCAGACCCCGTTCGCCCTCCCAAAGGGAACGTTCCTTTCGAGGCAATGTCGAAGTTTGGGGCTTGTTTGGGGCCTGAAAAGGCTTCTCAGGAGGCGCGGTGGGCGGTAGAGGGAGTTGAGAGGTCGGGACGCTTCTCAGACTGATACCATCATCTCGAATTGATGGATCGAGGGTCCTACCGGCGGTCCAGGCTGGAGTCGACCGTAAAGGGAGTTGAGAAGTCGGGAGGCTTTTCGGACTGGTACTCTCTTCTCCATTTATTGGATCGATAGTGCTGCCAGCATTCCAGCGCATCTCACCGAACTTGATGCGTGGTTCCATCTTAATAGCTATACCTTATCTAAAATAATGATGAAGCTCTGCCTTGTGTCAATGATTTGTTCCGAGGAGCGCAGTGGTCACTTACTGCTAGATATAGAACTGTGCTGTGTTGTGTTGGAAACCAATGTATATGGAAGATGCGAATTGACTTCACCCACAACTTGCATCTCTCCAGAGAATCCGAGTGGCGATCCTTCCATCTGATAGAAGCTCATCGATTCAGGAAGGTTTGACTCAAAGGTCTCTCTCCGGGTCGTTTAACTAGAGACAGGTGCGACCGTTCGACAAGCGCGGTGGTTGTCTGGGAAATTCGAGGCAAATGAACAGCAAGGCGAGATATACGGCAAATTATTGGTTTACTAATATCAAGCTTGGATCAACGTTCACACAAGTGAACAAGAAAAAGGTGAAAAATTGAAAGGGGCAAGCCACCAAAGTATCACATTTCATACCCCACGCTCGAACAAGCCTTCTGTCACCTTCCCGATATCATCGACCGAAGTCTCTCCGTCAGCCGAACAACAAATACAAAGGAAGGTTTTAGGGTCAGGTGGGTGTCAGAAGAAATGTCCTCCAAGACTTAGGCTACAGAAATAAAGTGGCCTAAATGCTAGCCTAAGCTGGCATAAGGTGATCAAATTATTCCATCTCTTATGCTGTCGGGGGCCAATTCTTATGACACCCTGAGGAGGGTATCGTCTTACGACAGGGTACTATGAAGTTAAATGCTTGAGGATCCAGCCTTCGTCCGGAGGTAGAGACATTGTGCTAGTTTGCAAAGTACATCATTCTTCTGTAATTTCAATTCAAGTACCCAGCGATGCCATGAAGATTCTCTCGTACCCATCTATTCTTCGTATTAAATGAATCATTAACTTTTCCAGACCGTTTTCCCAAGCATGAGTGCCCTCTTACTCTAGTGTATGCGTACCATCATATCAACACCTCAAGGCCAGCACTATCCTCAGTGACATCCCCGACCACAAACGATACAGCCATCCATAGGACAACCGGTCAACGTACCACCACAGTTCGGCGCAAATCTGACAGTAAACATATATCCATATAGCCCCCGATGGCATTCCAATCTTGTCTCATTGAGGAACTCGTGGACTTCCCGAGGCGCGATCCGTTCAATGAGATCTTGCTCCATCCAGGCTGTTAGAGTGTCCCAAGCTCTTGTAGGTGGGGAGTAGTCCGTCCATTCTACGAAAAACTCGCTGACTACGCCGTATCCACGTCTGCAGATCTCACGATAACCCAGTACGCGGAGGATCCAATTGATCGATGGGGTCGGTTGCTGTAAAGCGACAGACTGGGAAGTGTGGGAATATCGGCCTGGTTGAGCTGAGCCTACTGTGTCGCTTCTGGGTACAGTTGCTATGTACGAATAGCTGGACCGAAATTCCCTATAGATGGGTGGCCTATTCTCCATCGAAGGGTTTCGCCAGGTGGTCGAGCTCTCCGGGCTCTCAGGAGACTCCAGGTTGTAGGACGATGAACGGGGTGAGACAAGCGTCGTAGCCGCGATGGAGGGGGTTCGTGAAGGAACGGACCCATGCTCATGATTCTGTCCCGCGGGGTTTCGACGGTTGAAGGCTGAGAGTAAGTTAGAGACATATTGGACATGGAAAAAGTTGACGAACCATCAATACCACGATCCCAGGTCCATCGTGAGAGGTGGTCGTAATAGCGAGGGCTATACTGCTCAGACATACTGATGAGGCCTGCGGTTTGTAGTTGGTGTGAAAGAGGTGATTGCAGACGGGAAGCTGGAGGAGAGACGTTCGGATACGACCATGATAAAGCCAGCTTCCACAAGCCCAGAGCCCTTAATCTCTCACATCTTCCTCCTTCGTCATATTTCAGTACTGGGGTAAGCGCAGGCACAACCTGAGAGCGTTCGCAACAGCCCTGACATTTCTTTAATGATTTGGTTTTATGTTAATAGTTCGACGCTCTGCCAATGAATACCATTCCACGCCTGAAATACGCAGGGTGCGAAAGGAACTAAGGTGGGAGAAGCGGTGTTTGCCCCTGAGCCGCAGCAAATTAGAGCGCTGTCAGTGTTGCACAGAGGCGCTGGTGACATGTCACATCTCCAGGATTTTGCTCAAATAGTGTTTATATCAATAAAGCTCTATGGGCTAAAGGAAGAGTGGCACCTGTGCCCTGTTCATTTTGGGTTTTGGTTGTTGTGGTGAAGGAAGCGATGGAAACGGTTGGAAATGGAGGGAAGAAGACTGCTTTCCTTGCAGGGCTGTACGCTCTCTACATCACACTTTTACACCTTTCTGGGGCCGTGATTGTGCCTTGGTTTCCAAGCGCTAGACGATATTGTGAACTGTGAGGTTCCGTCTCAGCCCGCTTCCTATCAATGCTTTAAAGGCTTTTGGCGTAATACTTCTCAAGAGCGACTTTGTCTCATCAATATAACAGATCATATCCAGCTTCTAGAAGGGCTACCGTCAGAAATCGAAGAAATGAATGCTCAGAATATGCTTGAACAGAGGCTGGAGTATCACTTTAATCCAGCTCTCCCAGAGGTATTCCCGCTGATTGGAAACAAAGGAGATTCAGAACACGTCACGCAAAATACTTTTACAATGTACTTGAAGTTTCCAATGATTTTGCCCTACATTATGAGGCTGCCCGTCAAGATACAACCGCCAGGTAATTTGCAGGTTGAAACTGCTATATGTTCCCGTCGCAAATCCGCGACCAGTGCACTCAAGAGACGCCATTCCAGTTTCCGACTAAAGCGGTCCCCAAATTGGATAGTATAGAGCAAAATAAATTGTCGACTATCACAACAAACAGCTTGGTACTGTGGTCTAGTTGGTCATGACATCTCGTTAACACCGAGAAGGTCCCCGGTTCGAGCCCGGGCAGAACCTCTCTTTTTGCATTTTTGCCTTTTTGCCATATGGCAGGAACACAACACTTGATCTTTTTTGATCTTTTTTGTTTGTATTTCTCGTATCGCGACAGAGGATTTATGCGTGACAGCTACGCAGACCGAAAAGCATTTAATACTGAACTAGTGGAAAGAATGATCTATTCTTTCGCGCCTGTTGAAATCTCTATACAAGTACAATATCCTGCATCGGCACTTTCTCCCAAAACTTCCTTCCTCCCTCTTCCCGTTGCTCAGAGTAGAATAGTCCCAGCTTCTCATATGCACCTTGTTCCTCAAGCGACGGTCTCACGACGATACCCAATAGGAGCTCCTGATCCTCCGGTAAATCATGGCTCTTCAGCACCGGATCGTCGCCAGGGAAGATACTCGCAGTGAGAACCAGACGAATATCTTTCATCGGCCCGCGGGGATAACCCTTGTCCATGAGAGCACAGTGACTGTCCCAGTCGAAAACCATCTTGGCTATGCACTTGTTTCTCTTCGACCAGAGAGCGTAGCTGATTGACGGGACACGCATGTTCTTCCACCATTCGTACGTGTGCTTAATACGGACTTTTCCATTGCGTCTGGTGGGGGGTTTGTACATCCGGGCTGTAAGTAACAAACGACCCTTCGAAACACGACCAAATGGGTTGTGCTCTTCTGGTACAACGTCTGTGCTGCGGATAATGAGCTCGGACTTGGGCTGTTGGTCCTCGCGCAAGATCCAGGTTGCTCTCGATGGCCGGTTGACCCAGCTCCAGGATGGCGCGATGTAGTCTTTTGATGTGAGCTTCTGATAGACGTCAAATTCCTTCCATTCGTTATGAGCCCATAAAAGACCCTTATGGATGTCGGATTCCCATAGGCCTGCGAGATACTTCTGACCTCTGAACATCTCACTGAAAGATCTTGCCAGAGCTGCAATAGCAGGAAGCTTATCCTGCTGGAAGGCGAGGTTTCTACAGGAGTAATCCGAGACCATATTGTACCACATTCCCAGCGCTTGTTGGAGTGAGCCCATAGTATCAACATACCGCCCATGTTCCACGACGGAACCATCGGCTGCTTCCAGATATCCTCCACAACTAACATGGAACATGAGATTACCGAAGAAGATTTTACGCGGCGCGAGTTGGTCTTCTTGGAAGGTCCAACCTCGCGTGGCCCACGCAGATTCGAGGTCTACTTCTCCAGGAGACTCTACACCACGTCCGTACTTGCCGTGCGCTCTAGTCCATCTCCGCAATGTCTTTGCGGGAGGGTGGAGCATTCGAAGCGTGAAATGGCCTGAGATCGAAGGGTTAATCCTTGACCGGAACTTGAGCCTCACGCTGGTTGGGCTGTAATTCTTCTGGAGAAAGCCGCTCGAGCAGGAGTCGCCTTGTCCGATGCACAGTGTAACATAACTGTTCTCGTAAATTAAGGACATTTGAAAGGACTCCTTTGACCAATCTTCGTCGTCGCCCTGGATGATGCAAAGGGCGTCGATCCAGAGAAATCGAATTCCAATGGCTCGACAAACTTGGACTGAGTCGGCGATAGTTTGGGGAAGCTTCTGCATAGTTATCGAAGTGCAGTGTTCATCCAGAGTAGCCTTCGTTGTTTTGAGCTGCTTCGCCGCTGCATCACCAGAGCCCCAGCAATAGCTCAATCCTGCGTATCGTTGCTGTGAAGCTTCGAGCTTACAGAATTCAGGATCAGCCTCAGTAATGACCAGTCGCAGGCCAGATGGACAAGATGCATGTACATCAAGTAGACGAGTCGGCAAGAAGGGCTTCTCCGCGGTCTTCACCGGCTGCTTCTCTTCTGCCTGTCGGATAAGCTCATGCATTCTCCCCAGAGATGTTGGGGACAATGCATTGCTCGTATAAGGCCTCCGGTTGATCTGCAGCCATGAGGCACAAGGGTCTGACACAAAATTAGCTTCGATGGCACACCAAGTTGTATAATGCTATTCATACCTGTAGGTTCTGCATAGAGGTTGTAGCTCATAGAGTATTTTCTCGTCCTTTCTTTGAATCTTATTGTGAAGAAGACGAAGACTGTGTCGGACCATGTCCTTTGAGGACGATCACTGTCATGTTCATAATTCCCAAGCTTGTAGGCGATCTCGGAAATGACCAATTCCGCTCTGCTTGGTTGTTTTTCTGTGGCTGTCACTGATTCGGTAGCTTTCTCCTGACTCTCCTCTTGTCTGTCGTCACCTTGAGCTTTCTGTTCACCTATACCTTGTTCCCCGTCAGCATTTGTAAAGACGCTGCTACCGTCGCTGTCCTCGAAGATATCGCTGTGCTCTAGCTGGTCGGTCTTTTGATTGACACTCTCATTGTGCACAAACTTCGCATCAGTTGCTTCGTTTTCGACTTCTTTCTCCTTCTTCTTCTCATCCTCCTCCTCGTTCTTCCCTTCATCATCTTGGTCATCTTCTTCGTCTTCCCCGTCTTCCTCGTCATCTGCTTCTTCTCTTGTTTCTGCTTTGGCTTTGACTACTACTTCTTTTTCTTCGTCTCGAAGATCTATCCCATTCTCATACTCGTTGTCCCAGTTCTGTTCAATCCACTCCCATGCTTCCATCAAATCATTCCGAAGCACCTTGCAAAAAGCACATCCGGCAATTGCCGTAGCACCAAGCTCTGGCAGTTCAGGTAGTTCATCGCTCCTCGAATAGTCAAGTCCAAGCTCAGTCTTCGTGACAATACGTGGCGCCTCTGGATCAAAATCCGGCGTCGCGGAGACCCATCCCCTTCCAAATGTTCCCGAGGTTATGATTCGATCCTGTTCGGTTTCAAGGAACTCACCGAAATCGACAAAGGAAGCTCCATCTTCAACTGTCTTCGCAACGCCGCCAAGTTGACTATCGTCAAGATCGAGGACTTTGCAAAATTTGCATGGTTGGTCGAGGTCGATGACTGAGTCCATCGGCAAAGTCCTGTCCAGCATCTGCATGTGCGTAGTCATATTGGTAATACTGAGAATTTAGAACGTGATTCATTGAGGGAATTAATTGTGCTCTCTATGGGTACTACTATATACCTACGTGAGCGATGGATCCTTCTCCTAATCATCGCGGTCATCACGGACATGCTGTTCCTCTCCAGTCGGGTCTAGCCTCACCCTTGTCCCTCCACCTTGTGACGGAAAACGACCATGATCGACAGAGGAACAACACCAGAAGTAAGCTGAAATCTCAGTATCGCAGTCGCCGAAGCCAAAAATGGGGCTATTTGAAGTCGTGAAGCGGTCTGTGCGCCTGCTTCCTTATTACTACATATCATGGCTATTGGCAATGGAGTTTTAACAACAAATCTTTACCGTCAGACCCATACAGCTGAATGTAAAAGGTGGTCGCATAGATCAAGTGGTGGATAAATTATAAGAGCGAAACATCAGCGTGTGCCCTGAACTTCTAGCTGGCGGCAAAACCGGATGGAAGCAAGGAAGGCATTTTGTAGCCGGCTCAAACCTTGTGTTAGGGCAAGACGGAAAAGGATTCCGTGTAGGCAGGGGTCATAATGCCTTATCCAAAGTGTAAGTATCCTTAGAAACCTTATCTGATGATGGAGCGAACCATGCAAGGGTTCTTCAGCAATACATTTCGTCACTCCGGTTAGAGTCGGTAAAGCAGGATTCGCGATTCGTTCATCACCAAGTTCATGTAGCAGCAGCAGCAGTAATCACATATCACGCAACGTGTCAAGAACAAGGTCAAGAATAGGCATTCAGTGCGGACAGGCCATGTCCACACAGAGACGCCATGGGCAGAACGCATCCGGGGCAGACATGAGTGCTGGGTCTCTTGCGGCAGACATTAAAAGTCAAATGGCAGTCTAGCGCACAGGTCCCGTGCTCGTCAGTCGAGCGACAGAAACGCACAGCGGTCCGGGTTCGTGGTGGGATGAGTTGCGAGACATGTAGATCACAGCGACCTCCATATGACGCTGCGAAAAGAGTACCTTGAAATTTGGGGGTATTCGTACATGCACAAGCCCTCGAAACGACCCATATGTTGCACGAGGCCAGTGGTGGGAATGGTATAAGCAACATGAAGGTCGGCGGAATGTCTTACGGGTGCAAGAGCCTAACGCCAACGTCGACGTTTAGGAGGAGGCAAAAATAATGGTAGGCATTAAGCTGGTTGTCGTAGCGGCTTGTTTCAACTTATGTCGGGTTATTGCTAGCATCACACTGCAGGGCGGATCGGGGGACAAAGACCGCCGAGCTTTTGAGCGCGGCACCAATCGTGCAATTCCAATCGCCGCACTGAGAACTTTATAGTACAGCAAGTATCATGCCGCGGCGCATGGCCCGTAGGTCGAAGAGATAGAGCCCGTGTATACTCGGCAGCTTGCCCATTGGTATCTTCGAGTTGGTCGGTCGTTGCTCTGTTTCGTAGACCCGCGAGGGACGAAATATGTCGCAAGGATGCTGCTTTCGCGCGCATCAACAGTGGTCATCAAGCTTTCGTGGCGGTGGACTCGTATCGCAGTTGTCGAAACGTGAAACCGTTGACCACCTTGAGGTTTCAATGTGTCGCGACAGCATTCGGGCAGTGCCGGCAGGAATAGCTGAGGCGGGTGAAACGATATCCTGTCGCGTCAACCACCGCTATGGGAGCTTCATTCGTGGGGTATACTATCGCGTCGTCTTCCCATTCGGCACCCGTGAGTTTGCGAAGCATGGCTGTTTTCCCTCGAAGTACGATGCGACGAAACAGATCAAGACGCTGATACGGGAAGGTAGTGTCGCTGGTAGGGTGGGTATCTCAAGCGTATCAGAGTCGTATGTGCAATCCGCTTGGAAGGATCGAGGACACTGGGCGCGACGGGCAATTCATCGATTAATGGCTCGTGGCGAGACACCTTTTCCGAACAATGGAAGGGCTTAAGTTGGGACGTGTTGGCACGAGAGCTGGATTGCGGATAGCAGGAGCCTCGATCATGTTGAAGTTGGGGAAGCAGGCGAGTCGAGTACAGCTGTTGGAATGTATGGCGACGATCTGGAGATGCAGCGAAGGCGGCGGGAATGCGGGCTGAGACAGGTGGTTGGAAAAAGACGCGTGCCATTGACTGGTCGAGCGATTCGTACAGAAATGGAAACGCTCGAGGGCCTGGTACTGGCGGCTGGTGCGCGGTATGTGTAGCTCGATATTGCGCCGTGTAGCGCCTTCGTCCTGCATCATTCCCCTTCGTGAGACATGGCGTGGCGAGTGAACGGAGGTTCGTAGGTCATTGTTGCGATCGTTGGATCTGGTGGTCGCTTCTTGTCGTCAAGCCAGTGAGACCGGGCTATAATGACTGAGCCAACAGTGACGTTGCGACAGCTCGCCTACCCAGCCATTAAAATAGTAGAGGAGATTACGCGCGGGAAGTCGACGGCGAAGGGCAACTGAGCGATATCATGGGATAGAATCCTTTCTATACCTAGTAAAGCGTGAAGTAAAGACGAAGTAGACGGTCAGCTCAAGAAGGTCGAGATAAACATTTGCGATGTCGCGAGTTGAGCTTCAACGTCATCACGCCAAAGAGTTCGAAGACGGAGCTTATCGCTATCGTGTTCTTCTCTATGATTGGTCAAGAGTCTCGAGCGAGCAATAGTTGCCCCACTCGCCCTTCCTTTGCGAGTTGCGCTACCCTGTACGATGAATGCATTTCAAAATTTCGAGAGAAGTCCATACAATGGTTATCATCGTGTAATTTTGTTAAAGAAGTTTTAGGAAAAAGGAATGAGCATTAGCGCTTGAAGGGACCGAGCATCATCAGTAAAGGTGTCACAAAACGAAGCATAGGATGGAATTAGCATTGATATTCATGAGCTCTAACGCACTCAACAACGAGATGATGTTGCAATATGTTTCATCACAAGACGTTTTCATCATCTGGCCTGTTGCAATTAAAATGCTTAGGTCAACAATTGGCTCTTGTGGTGACGATATAATATCGCCTAAAATCATTGATTGCGATAGTTTTAAAGATCATCTGCTGGTGCCTTTACTCGTCGTTCGGGATCGTGGCTGTTAAAGTTAACAAAACAGAGTTACCCTTTCAAGCCATGCCACAAGACCCTTTTCTACTCTGATATATGACTGAGAGATACTGTCCCATTTTCTTGCTTGATTCCGGTCTGTTTCTCTTCCTTCCACCCACATCAACCACATTGCACAAACAGTCATCTCGCAAGATGCATTTAGGAAAGCGTCAACGAAGCTATCGGCAGCTCGTATGATGGACAAACCATACTCAAACTTTTCAATGGGAGATCGCTTCGTTCGATGAGATTAGCATATCTCTCGATGATTTTCCACCATCAAAGTCTTCGCAAGCTCATCCTTTGCTCGTCAAATAATTGCCCGGACTGGACGACGAAGGAGTCAGGTGGGTGACAGAAGAATTGTCCTGTGAAGCTTAGGCTGCGGAAAAAAGGTAGTCTAAATGATGGACTAATCTGCTGGAAGATGACTAAATTATTTCGTCCATTATGCTCTTTGCGACCAATTCTTCTGACACCTTGGAGGCAGAGACCATATGGAAGTGGGAGAATGCTCCCGCTCTCTGTGCCCCACTCTTTTGCAGTTCTGCCGCCAACTGCTTACGCGACCGGAATAACTGCTCCCCGCCCCACTTCCAGCCTCTTAATCTCCTTCACTGGCCTAGCAGTGCCAGATTCACGCACCTTGGCACAAGATCCCTCCACTTCCTCACGATGTCATCTCACAACCTCAACCTCGACCTCGATCCTCGAGGCTTCTCTCCAGCATCATTCCTTCGCTCATGAACCGATATCCAACAATCCTTCCGACCTCCCACGAGCCGAACCGCCGCCCTCGAAACGCGTCCCAAGAGAAGTCGGTGAATCGCGCTACAGACCGTTATAAAATTCCGTTTCGTACCCTTCAAACGAGCGTCTTTTTGGGCGATTTCCTCCTTTGCTGGAACGGGCGGGGCCTGTAGAGGGGACTTTTCGATGTCTCGCAGCTCAGTTCTGGAGCTCGAATAGTTGCCCGGCAGCGAAGCTGACTTCTCGCGGTTCAAAATCTGTTGGCCTTCTCCGCCTCCTTTGCGAGGGTTGAGGGACCGTAAAAAGGGAAATCTTGCTTTTGGTCTCGCAGCTCAGTTCTGGGGATCCAAGGGCAAGCTCCCGTCAGAGATCGCTGATTCTGGGTCGAGCTTGAAGGTACGTTGTGTATTTGGAAGCTAACTGGCAGAATACCTATCGAGAATGGCGACATTGTCGACTCTCGACGTGAACACGACGAGTTCTGCGGTTGTTTCATGGCGCTGGAACGAGGTCACACGATTCTTGGCAGAGCCCGATCCTCAAATCAGGGATATCACCTTCACAACACGATTCGATAACACGGCGACGTTCTTCCAGTTGAACATACCTATCCGGATCAAGGGGATCAAGACCGGAACATCCTTGATCCTTCGTATTCCTCCCTCATCGATCTCCTCCTTCGAAGTGACAGCCCAAAGCCCTGCAGTCCCGAGTGCTGTGCGGGAAAAGTTCCCTTCGAGCACGAGTACGCTCCTCGACTTTCAACTCAACGCGCATCCCGAAATCCTCGTCCCCACACAGGCACAAGAACCGCTGGCCCCTCTGCGAGCCCAATCGGGCACAGTTCTCGATGCTCTACATGAGCTCGCGAACAGCACTGCGCTATCGATCTATATCAAAGGTGCACACAAGGCACAGCTTCAACCTGTCTGCGACATCATCGGCAAAGGCAACGGCCTGCCGCTCGTCATTCAACATGATCTCCTCAGCATGTTTGGTGGTGTAGGCGCCAAGGTCATCACATTCCCAGCGCCTCCGACAGAGTCACTGCCACCGCCGTCATACGACCAAACTGAACCTCCACCCCCTCATGCACCAATTTTCGACACGCGAAAACGGCGTCGCAAAGACGATGGAGGAGAAGAACGCGACGAGGACATCGCCCTGATTTGGGCACAGCTGGAGAAAATACAAACACGACATGGGCTGGAGCTCAAGGCTTTGAGAGAAGAGAATCTGGATCTCAGGGATGAGGTCGACGACCTACGAAAGCGTCTTGCTGCCTCTGAGAAGAGCCATCAAGATTTGAAAGAGGAATTCGACGCATTGACAACGAGAACGGATGTCAAAGTCGACGAGTTGGGTGATGAGATCGATGTCAAGCTTATCGATACAAAGTCAGACATACAAGAACTGACTGAGAGTGTCAAGTCCTTGAGGGAGGATGTCGATCCGGATGAGCTGGTTGATCGAGTGAAATACAAGGTTTTCGACCATCTAAGAACCAGTCTGTCTCACGATATGTCCCCAGCCGGTTGAACTTCAAAAGCATAAGAGACGACATAAAGGACGGCATAATAAGCGACATACATAATAAGAGACGAAATAAGGGACAATATAAGGGACGACAATGAAGACGAATTCCTTGCTACCAGGCCCGTCGCATGAACCATGCGGCTGCCGCCCTGCTACACATCCTACCAATTCGCGCTGGAACCGCTCGAATCACTACGGATGCATGAATGCAGATGACCTGATGAGGCATTAAGGCTAGATGTAGAGTCATTGCGTCAGAAAACCAGCTGTTGGTGTAGCGCGACACGCGGATAGTTTGGAGATGCCCTTGTTGCACATCAAAAGCCGCCGTCGCGACCCTCCCATACTCATTCGCACCACGTCCCAACTTGTGCTGCTGCCTAGATAGTATCGCATCTCAGCCACCCTCCGCGCACCCCCCGTTCCTGGCACAGCGACGAGTATATAATCAAGCGAAGTAATAATAATAGAACAGGCAAAAGCCTGAAGCATTCAATGCATGGAATGAGGAACAACCGCTGTGACGTCTGTCTTGACATGAATAGAGGGGAAGATGCAATCGACCATGTGTTTGACGTAACGGAAGAAAGATCCTCAGGTTTAGACAACCAGAATGAAGTAGCCTAAATGCTGGTCTATTCTAGCATAAAGTGGTCAAATCGTTTCGTCTCTTATGCTTTCTTTGATCCTGCTTGTACAACATGGCAATTACGCAACTCCTGGTCACTGATCATGCAAATAAAGACTTCACGTTGCATCGAGTCAGCGTCAATCATGGTGGCCCTATGAGTGCCGTCTCACTCGGCGACCAATGCCCAGAAGGCTAGCATCGGGAAGATTGTTGAATGCTGAGCTTTGCGGTCGACACATTTGACGAGTTCGAAGAGACCAGTGTTGGCGAAACCAAGGACGTTCTCTCTTGCGCTTTGTGGCCTCTGAGCGTGCGCCTATTCTGAGTTCGAGAGCAGACTAGAGAAGTTCGAGAGTACAAGTACGTGGATCCTTGAGCGGCTTAAAGCACATGATGTATGCGGTTGAGGGAGCTTGATCGCGTCGTGGAAAGACAGGCGTCTAAAAAGAGGTAAGAACAGCAATCGCCCAGGACGACACAGCTTGACATGGTGAGCTGTAACAGAGCCACGGCCAGTTAATACACACAGTGAACAGTACAGACGAATAATTGAACATGCCTGATTATTCTCTGACAAATGGATTCTTAAGAAAGTCCGTTCTGTCCTCTGACAAAGAAAGGCGCTTCATTCTACCTCGCCATGGCCTGGATGTTTTGCGATGGACCGCTGAAGGGTGCGGGAGTAGCCGCTAAAATCATCAACTAAGAGTCTGTTCAGTGGGGTTTCCAGCGGGCTACGTAGTGCTGCAGGATGCGCTAGGAACTGCCTAACTTCTGCGACAGGGGACCCTTTGCCTGGACAATATTCTTGATTCTTACTGCAGAACGACAACGAAGCTCTTATTTGGCACGGGAGATCACGCGGATCAAGGTGTATGAGAGCAATCAAACGTCATCAAGCAGCGTCGTGACATCTGTTGCGACATCAATACTTCTCGCATTGAGTTTGGTGCACTCAGGCTTATCGCTTCTTATTGATTACCCCGCCACCATTGGTTTGCGACCCGACTTTCCATCAGACGCGTTCTCACTCAACGAATGCAATTGCGACGTGCTGAGCTTCCCTCGCAACCGATCGGCGCTTTGTTCCATTGTTCCACGAACGACATGACCTGCGCTTTCTCCCTCGTCTCGAGCGTCCTCGACCAAACACTACCGGTGTACGATGATTGCTCTCGAAGACTGCAACGCGATTCCCCTCCAAAGCTCTTGGGCCGGAATGAAGCCTGGCCATGCTGAACAACGGGCATACAATGCTGGAAAGAGAATGCGCCTTGGCCAAGATTGAACGAAATGAACTCCGATGAGTTCGCGACATTGGGGGCAACAGCCACGAACATTCCAAGCTCGTCGTCGCGCCTCAACCTCAGTCTTTTCAGCTTTGCGTACTCGAAGAATGAAGACGTCGGCACGGCACAATCGAGAAGACGGCAAAGAAAGCCAACGCAAGCGATATTTGAGCCCGTCGACCCAGTATCTCGATATCACGTATCCTTTTATCCGAGCTCGAGCTTGCATCGATATGGACCCAACCTTGAATGCGCCGCATTTCTTCACCGATGTCAACGACTTCCTCTGCCAGCGACTCTCGCTATTATGCGAAGCGCCGCAGCTTCTCGCCCAAGCAACAGACTCCGACTGACCGTTGCCATTGTGCACCGCCGAGCAATACCTCAAGCGCAGCGTCCCTGTGAGAATGGCTATCTCTAATGCCTGAGTGAGCTTTGGACTAGTCATACACGCTCCCAAACCTGCTCCTGGCCATCAGCGCTGGTGCAACATCCCGTTGTGGACATTGCCAGGCATGCATAAAGAACAGCCGCCGATCTAGAGACTGCAAGAAACCCCGCCTTCGCCGAGCACAACAACTGGATTGAGGCACCTACCGTCTACAAAAGGCCAATAAGATCGCAGTGCCTTTTGGAAATATCGCAGGCCTTGACAGGATTGACTTCAATAACGACGTCAAATTGAGGCTTGGCTTGTCTTTGTCTGCCAGCATAACTCTAGCGATCGAGTACCAACCACAGGCCGAACATCAACACATCTTCTTTGCGATTGCTTGCCTATAAGCGCCAGAGCCTACTACTGCTGACAACCAAATCGCATTGTCGGCTACCGAACCCTCCGAATTTACAACGACCAGGTCAGCGGCACCGAGTTGAACAGCGCAAATTGTTCCGGCCCCCAGCGTCGATGTCTGATACCAGTGCAAGGACAGACTGTTCCTGCCTACTGGTCGACGTTCGACCTGCACAGAACAAAATCCCCATCCCCAGTATTGACCAAAGACTGTACTGCGCCCTAACCAAGCTGATTCCTCGGCTTCGAGCACTCGCCGTTCAGGGCGATGTCACGTCTATCGGTGACTTGTCGCATGATGCAATCAGAACCAGCACGACTCGTTATACTGAGACCGTTTGCATAGGCGTGCACAGACGGGCTTCGTCGTTCTCACATTCGGCATTCCTTCCTCGCTGTCTTCCTGTTTCGTGATGCTACGAGCTTGCAACTCTTGTTTCATTTCTTCCATGGGCCAACTCTTTTGTATGAATGCATAGCACCGTCGTCCGAGATGATCTCGCTTGTTCCCCGTGGTCTACTTGCTCTAGCGACAGGTTTCTGTAAGGCACAATTGGCTCGCCGCTGCATGTAGTGGTCATGGACATAAGTTTAGTACTAGTAGTTGGAGCAACTGGCCAGGAACCATGGCCTCTCCGTGAACCAACTAACACTCACACTATAGAAGACCTCCTCAGCCGCCTCTCGACCCTTCGCTATTGACCATTGCGCTTCCGTCACAAACCTTTTTACCTCAAAGCAAGAACTAGAGATCACTGATGGAGATCATCTTCGTTTTGCCTTAAGAGTGTTTCCCCATAGTCGAAGCTTCCCGTCGTTGGTTGGAGATGACTCTTCACCCAACAAGACTATACAATAAACACTGATGATTGACAACAACGGAACAAAAGTTCGTGTCGGTGCGAGCCGTAGAGCCTTGTACACTTCCTTAGCCCCCGTCTGTGTTTCACTCTCCCTCCTTTGATAGGGTCTTTGCAGCCACTCAGACTATCCGCAGCGTTGTTCCCAGAAAAGCACAGTCATTTCTCTCTGTTCGTACGAATCAAATGATGACAGCAGCACCTAGAGCGCCTCCTTTCTTTGCTTCGCCCGGGTACAAACCCTATAGAGCACATATGTGTACTCTGCGCCCAGCGTCATACAGCCTGATTAGTGAACCATACGTAGCACCTCTCTATTTATAGAGGATGCTCACTCTGTTCTCGTACTGACATACAAGATGAACGCGAGATATATCCCCGCTATACCGCTTCTCTATTTTCCACACGCTCTCCTTGCTATAACACTTCAGTCCAGTATACCGTTGGCAAAGCACTCTTCAAAAGATGTCGAACTCTCATCTGAAGCCTTCCACGAGCTCGTACGAATTGACATCTATTCATGATGTGGAAACAGAATCAGCAGAGCCGATATTTGCGCAAGAACCCCCCAAAGACAATAGTCACTCTCATCCAAGAACACTCTCTGAAAACGCATGGGGTCTCGAAATACTATCGGTATCTACAAGCTTGATACTCTTCATCGGCATGGTCGTGATATTCTTCACAATGCAAGACAAGCGTGCTGATAGCTGGCCGTTTCCTATATCGATCAACGCGGCGATCGCTATTCTATCGACAGCCTGCACTGCTGCCATGATGTACAACGTCAGTGCTTTTATCGGACAACTAAAGTGGTCCTACCTCAAAGCCCGGCCTCGTCAGCTGGATAGCGTTCAAGTTTTTGATGGAGCCAGTAGAGGACCGTATGGAGCGATCGTCTTTCTATTCAAGATCTCTTGGAACATGGCCACTCTCGGCGCAGTTATTACAATCTTACGACTAGGGTTCTCTCCCATGGTCCAAGAAGTTATTAGCCTGGAGTCACGGCAGATACCTGTTCAGGACGGAAATGCTACATTTGGGTTCGCTCATTCGTATAACAGAAGTATGTATCCTGGCGAGTTTGGTGGTGAGTAAATGGGAACCTATAAGTGAAAACCTTGCTGATAACTCGGGATTTAAGGAATACCTCCTGATCCTCAGATGCAATCAGCGATAATAAAAGGCCTTTACGACATCCATGCTGCTCCTGTGTTTAGCTGCGCTGGCGCCTGCTTTTGGAAGGGCAGTTACGTATCACTAGGCTTCAAGAGTGTGTGCAAGAACGTCACTGTGTCGACTTTAAAGACAAGGTTCTGTACCGACTCAACAGGCGGCTCGATCTCTTTTTCAGATATACCAGACGACGAACGGGCGAAATGCAATATGACTACACCTGGTGGCATAGTATTGTCGGCCCAGCATAAATTACTGTCTCTCCTGACCATGTTCCGATCTAACACAACAGCTACTCACAGTGGTCTTGGTGCCTCTCCAGATTTAATGAGAATCGCTGTTTATCGATCTTCTAGGGATAATGCCTACATGCCTTTGAATATCGACATCACTGAATGCACTATTAGTTACACAGCTTACGAGTATACCAATGCAACGGCCAATGGCAGTGTATTTTCCTTCGGGAAAACTAAGACAATTGATCTTGAATGGGCCGCGATTATATTCGGTAAGGATGTTCGGCTGGATGATTCGCAGGGTCAGCCGTGGCAAAATGCGCGGCGTCTTTCCAGTGCCGATCCCAAAGACGACTTACCCGAGCTGTACTCTTGGTGGAACGATGATCTAGCTTTAACAGAGTTTTTTCAATCGGAAATATTCCAGCTGGAATACATCGAAGGAATCTATGGCAACTTCGAACATAGCCTGAGTACTTTACTGAGTGGTCAGACGAACCTGTCCCGCGCTTTTGACAACATGGCAACCAGTATGACGGATTACATACGCTCAGGACCTAACATGAAGCTGGCAAAAGGGAGTCGACTCGATACGGAAATTTTTGTCTCGGTACGGTGGTATTGGCTAATTGGACCTGGGCTCATCGAGCTAGCTTCACTGCTGTTTGCCGTCGCTACGATAGTGAGTAATGGTAGGAAGCACAAAGTCCCTCTATGGAAGTCGTCAGCGCTTGTACTCTTGGCTTGTCAGCATGATGAAGATGAGGGTCTGATCAGAGGAACAACGAAGAGCATGGTCGAAATTGAGAAGAAGGCAAAGAATTTGAAGGTTCGGTTAGAATAATGGACAGAACAGGGGCTAAAGGAGTATCAGAAACCTGACCGCTGGCCTATTTATGCAACTTCATAGTACAATACTCTGTTTAAATTCCTTTGTAAAAAACAAAACAAAACAAATGCAAGATGATTCAGATATTCAAAGCAAATAACACAAACACCTGACGCATATCCGTTCTATGTCTATCCTAGAATTCCATCATCCTTTCCCCATCGAACGTCTCGCCAGCACACGATCAGATATCAGTCGATTCAATACCCCATTAGTCAGGCTGATGGGGTTGACGAGCAGTACTCGGTTGTCCCTCTCGACTTCTTGGCCTCATCCCAGTTACGTACAAGCCGAGGATGATCTGACGTGATGACGCACTTGGCCACAATATCCGCCATATCATCATATCCAGTATACTGGATTGTGTACCATGATTCACACTCGTCTGTAATAGCCTGGACATTCTTCTCAGTCAATTTGGTAGCGGCCTCTCGTCCCCCGAGGCTGTCCCAGTAGTCAAAGACCATCTGGGGCTTTGCCTCATGGACGTCGAACTCGGCGAAGCGGACAGTTCGAAGTGGTCCGTCGGGATGCATACGCCATTCAATCCACATGTCAACGGTATTGTTGGTGTAATTGACTTCGTGCCTGGTTATTCGGACATTGTTGTCTTTGGCGTCGGCGAATGGGACAGCGACGGTAGGTTCTGACATGATTAACATTAAGTTTAAGATCTGACGGTGGAGCTAAGCTTGACCAGGCGGGTTGTAGTAGGGTGTGTAAGCTGGGATGACGTTAGTGTGGAAAAGCACTGACAGGCGGCTAACTCACTCCCGTAAGCAGACATGATGACAATGTTTGTTTGATAGATGAGTTGTGATATGTAGCGTAACTTGGTAGGTGAGATCTTGGTGGCTTGGGAAACCTAGCTCGGGAATAAAGTCGTTGTGGATGAACTTGGAAGAGGACCAGTCACATTATATATTGATGGATTTAGCATGTACTTCTACTATCTACCATAACGACTGTAAGAGGCACAAAGAGAGCGGGTATAAAGCAGCGTCTCTCGTGTCACCAGAGGATCCTCTGTCTTTCTCGTCGATATTGAAGCTCATAGTAGTCCTGTGATCACTCTGCTCTCATTCACTCTAATCAATTTCATAGAGGTAACAAAAAGAACCTACAAGCATCATCCTGGCCGTTAAGATCATCCCCTCGACTGAGTGCCGATATGCTCATGGCTCCGCTTGAGACAAAGAAGACCCACTTGAAAGGTCATCCTAGAATTCTTAGCCCGCTCGAATGCCTTTCATGCTCTTGTACAAAGCTTTAAAGAGAAGACAAATGACACATCAGACCTCTTGAATAAAGAATTCGTTGAAGGCGTACTGTTTGGAAAGCCGCTTTATGTTGTCGATAGAGAAGTGTGGCACATGCTAGCTTTTTGTAAAGTATCTTATCGGCTGAGGCGATGATATGCGCAAAGTCACAGTATCGTCAAAAGTGTGAACTGGGACGATTTAAACACGGTAACAGTGAATTGTGGAAACTTGGAAAAGGCACAGTATAAAGTCGCAAGTAAGATGACACGAGCTGGTATAGTACTACATAATCAAATACATACAAAACCGAGAGCCGAACAAACAATCTAATCTTATCATTGGCGCGGACATCAGAATCCCCTTACTATCGCAGACACCAACGAGCTGCGTCATCTAAGGTAGATGCTGCTTGATCTCCTGCTGAGTCCACTCCCAGAGCTTCTCACGAGCCTCCTTATCCTGGCTCAACTTGCTTCCCTTGCCCTTCACACCAACAGGGTGATAGAAGACACCGGTTTCAGCATCTGGGCTAGAAAGCGCCCAGAGCTGGTTCAATGCGCCCTTGCTCGAGTTGACACCCATAATGCTGAAGACCAATCGTGTAATAGTTCCGACAATGAGACTGCTGCTGATAGCGGGGCCAGTAAGGTTGGTTTGAACAACTCCTGGGTGGAGGCTGATGACCTTGAGATTGGGATGGCGTTCAGCCAGGGCGGCGGCGTAGTGAACGTTGGCGAGTTTAGAGATGGAATAGCGTGCTGAGCTCGACAGGTTAGGCATGGTGGTCTTGAATTGGTCGAAATGATAAGGATCCTTGGGCGAAAAGGATTCTCCCATTGAAGCCAGGAAGATAACTCTGACGTCAGGGTTGACCTTGGTCGTCTCCTCAAGCGTAGGAAGGAGAAGGTGCGTAAGGAATGCGTGACCCATGTGATTTGTTCCAATCTGAATCTCATAACCCTCCTCAGTGAGGTCTTCAGGCGTCATCATGATACCAGCATTGTTGACAAGCACATCAAGACGCGTGGATGCTTCCTGAAATTCCTTGACCGCAGACTTGATACTCTCCAAAGAAGCAAGGTTGAGAGATAGAAAATGCACTGGTTCAGTCTTGCAGCCAGACTCCTGCAGCTCAGTAATGGCTTGGTCAAATTTTGCCTTTGACCGGCAGGCAAGGAAAATCTTGGCAGGATCGTGTTTCAGGAGCTGGCGAGTTGTTTCGAGACCCAGACCAGAGTTTCCTCCAGTAATGAGAATAACTTTGCCATCGAGGCTGGGGATGTCGGTATCGGGAGAGAATTTGACTGACATTGTGAAGGAATTGTTGAGATTGTTTGACAGAGGTTTGAGATGTGGCCAAAGAGTTGGTCGAGACCCGGCCTCGGGGACATGAAATCTGCCGAGGGATGGTTCAACCCTCCGGCGTTAGTCTCAATGTGGCTAGGTCAAATTTCGGGATCCGGAAATAAGATGCAACAGTATGAAACAACTGGCAGCATCCTTGGCATCGCAGGTCCAACTTGACGGTTACATCTGTGGAATGAATCACAACAGTCTTGTTTCACAGCAAGTTTACACAGCATATATAGCCTTGAACATAGCTTCAACTCTTAATATTATTACATCATTGGCTATTCTATTTAACTCCGATATCATCAACAGCTCTAGTTGGAACCAGTCAGCTGCTTGACAACGAACTTTGTACCGAGATCCTGGGTAGATGAATCGCGAGGGTATTGCAGATGGGGTCCGTTAATGCCGGCACCATGTGTGGTGTCACAAACACCATCACCCTAGTTACGTTAGTAAGGATGTTCCAATGGAAGGGTCAACTCAGGTTCACTTACATAGATACAGACATCAAGAGTCTTGGAGACCCAGTCTTGGGGAATGCCATTGCTTCCGAAAGCAGACAGTCCTTGGACATTCTTAGTAGTATCACCACCTCGGTTATCAACGTTGCACTCCAGACCCCTCTTGCGCATGGGGTTACCGATAAGGAAGACACCCTTGACAGCATCCTTGGAGCTTCCAGTCAGTTGAGAAAGGGCGTTGACGGTGGCAGCAGCACCCTGAGAGTAGCCCTCAAGGATGACGCATTCGCTAGGGTTGGAGGAGACGACGCTGTTGACCTTTCGGACGATGTCGCGAGTTCCTGAGGCGGAGTTCTGGCTGAAGTCGGCAGGGTAGACGGTGTTGTAGATCTTTCCGCCGGAAACTTGGGATGTGATTCGAGAGTTCATGGTTCGGAAGCCAGATGATGGGCCCTGAATCTCGCCAGTTCCTCGGGTGTTGATGATGGTGTAAGAGCTGCACTGAGCGGCACGAGGCTCAACCTCGATGGGGCTGGCGGAGACGGTGGCCGCAGCAGCGAGAAGGGGGACGAATTGGAAACGCATCTTGAATGTTGAAGATATTGATTGGAATGGTGGTTATAGAGAGGATGAAGTGACTTGATAGACTGAATATCATGTTCCTGAACAAAGCTCTTATACAAACAACCATCCGATGATCGGCAACCCACCGCATTATTCCCAGAAATTAAACCGCCTCGCAAACATGTCCAAGGCGGTTCTAGCTCGTTGCTTTGATGCTCTCCTGTCATTAGCGACACGCTAAAACGACAAGCTAGAACGCCGATCACCTCTCGGCACTCTGGGGCCATGTGTCTCGGTAATTCCATTGTTTCATCGCGTCTAGTGACTTTAGCGCGTCTAACTGGCACCTTTACGAGTATAGACTGACTCGTGGTTTGTTCAAACTCGGAGGACCTAACCAAATGTAACTGTCGATCATCTTCTTTTGTCTGGATTGCGGAGGTGAATTCCGCGATCGATAGTTCCATTGATGATGAGTCCAGACGGAAGAAGCCGAGAGAGCATGGTTTGCTCCGCGAGTGGATGTGAACGTGCCTCATAGAGTGGTCCTAAATTCAGGATGGCGCCAATTGGTCAGATGACTATTTTGCTGATCGTTTTGAAACCACCATCTCATCTCTACAAGTGCACAGTCCATTTCGATGACGATACGAGGCCTCAGAACGGACTAGAAATGGGCTAGCGGTAACAAGCATAAGATGCCTCACTTCCAAGCAATTGTTATGCCCCGCGCAGAATATGAGAAGGCAAAGCGACTGATCATTGTAGTCTATCATTCCAAATGGTGTCAAATGCTAGCGGTTCCTGTCATAGAAGCTAATATTGATAGCGCGCCGTTACCGTTCTAGTGAAAGCATAATTCGTTTCAACCAAGCAAAGACTCGCCCATCAAGTTCCACAAACGCCACAGTCTTGACATGAAAAGTAGCTTCGGCATTGGATACTGCATTCGACTTAATCTTCCAAGAGGTCTGTCCACCACGCCACAAGCTGCGGAAATGCTCAGTCCAGCCATGTGGCTTATCAGATGGGCGCCCAGGCGCTTCGGGCTAGCGATGGGTATATCCAGAACAGCCCAGTTAACAACTTAACCAGAAAAGTTCCCAGTTTCCGACATTGGTGAGCAGTGACCTCTGGAGATCCGGGGAATGGTAGGAGCTGATTTACGTAACATCGCTGACCGGGATGACTTCCGCTTACTTTATGGGACGTGGCGACTAGAAAGCTACCCTGGATCCTATGTTATGAACTGTCGGTGCTGAACTGTGGTTTCTTTGTCTCCGCAGCCTGTTCCACGATGTTGAAAGTTACATTCAACGTGTTCTTCTGTATGCACCCGATCAATGATTTACATGTCAAGGAGACTTGGAAAGAAAGCTACATCGAAGACGATAGAGATATGTTCAATATATACCTTTCTTGATATTTTCCTAAACAGATATATGTACATTGGTCCCTCTCATAAAAAGTCTTCGGAGGTGAAAACGACAAGTAAAAACATGTCACAGGGAATTCAGAGATAATATTAATCTAATAATAAACTGAATCAATACTGGATTCAATGAGATACATAGTGACAGGTTTCTAACTCGCAGGCCTTTGAAAGAGAAAAGTTGATGCCAAGCTCCGAGTTACGCAGGATCAATGGAATAGCGCACTAACCTTGGATGCAAAAGGAAAACAAATAGAGAGAAGACGAAAGGAGGTTTTAAGCACAAGGGGTTTGATGCCTGATGGCTTTAACCAAGGGATCAAGAAATGCATGACATGACAAACATGAAAATTTCTGACCAATGAAATGCAATTTGAGGCCGGAGACCCTGGAACCCCAAGGCTGATGACACAGGTTTGAGGTTATTCAAACCTGCCTATCGCGTCAAAAGCGTTTCAGCGGCCTGGCAACAAGGACCAGGGATAGCGAAATATAGCATGCGCATAATCAAAAATTCCTAAAAGGACAAGCTTCACCGCTTAAACCCCCAGGGCCAATGTAACATATCTGAAGATTATGCTTCCCAAAGAGGTCAAGATTGTGTCTGAAGCGATTCGAGACTTTTGTCTCGCCTACCAAAGTGGTTGGCTTGAAACGTAGACGAAATAAGCTTCAAGAGACATGCATATAAAGCTGTCATGTTCGCCCTTCCCACTTATTGTTGCAGATCAATTCATCCATTCTTCTATTCTCCATTTTGGCTGGTCCATCAATAATCTATCTTCAAGACCCCTTATCATCACTTATCACAACTACCACCAACAAGATGCTTGCCAAAACCATCTTCGTCATGGCTTTCGCCACGCTTGCCATGGCTGCCCCTCAGGCCAGCGGCGACCGCAGCGCTCAGATGAAGCGCGTTGAAGAACTTCGCGGCAAGGGTCTTACTTGCAACGAGGGTGTCCAGGGCTCTATCATCTGCTCTGATGGACTTGGCGGTGACTGGTGAGTACATATATCCGAGAGCAACGATATAATATTGACAATCTGTATAGCTTTGTCGACATTTTCGGATCAGGAAGCTGCCTCATCTAGAGGAGGTATCGGCAATTGGAAAAGGGGTGTTGAGCGTTCTATTTATATATGGTATGCAGGTACCGATAAGATAAGATAAGAGATAATTGAAGTATAATTATTGACCTCCTCCCACAACGTGACAGTTTCATCCTCGTCAATTTTATGTTTAGAAAATCCCAATCACTTATTCTTTGACTCGAAACATAATACAATCATTTGAAACGGTGCCCACAATGCCGCGCATGAACCTTGGCCTCTATTACAACCATTGCAGCCTACCGTCTGGATGTGGAGCTGGCTTCACGAAACCAGAGCTACTCAAGCGCTGCGGCGCCTGCGGTGTCGTCAAGTACTGTGGTTAGCCTCACCAAAGGGCAGACCGACCTAGGCACAAGGTCCAATGCGTTCCCATCAAGGAACAGAGGGAGAAACTCGCAGAAGAGGAGGCCAAACTGCGTGCCAATCCCGGCGAGGACACAAACGGTGTCGACCCTTTCACCACCCATGTTGGCCAGTTCTGGTTCTACAAGAGCACTCGCCCGTATATGTCTGCTCGCTTTGACATGATGTCTGCTATTCTCAATGTCCGTACTGGAGAAGCGGTTGAGGCAGCTCTTGGGCATGCCCTTGAGATGCTTCGCCTTTGTCGTGGGGATAATCAGGGTGTTCGGTCTTATGTACCTGCACTTTATCTTCGCCTTGGAAGGAATCAAGAAGCATACGACTTTATCAAATGGCACGCTACAGTCCCTGACGAAAAGTACGAATGGTTTAACCCTGAACTGCCATATCTCGATCTGCACGACCAGGATGCATTTGAACCTGTTTTCGAAAAGACCTACTACTATAACGTGGCTTTCACGGTAGGCCTCACATTGACCAAGATCCGCCTGATGAAAGACCTGGAATCCCTCCAAGACTTTCTGCAGGAGAACCCCGGCGCGTCAGAAGACGCCAGGCGCGCCCACGTCGAGGAAGAAGCCATGAGTGATATCCTTCTCAAGCGCACGCAGAATGTCGCCCACAATGATCACAAAGAGCTCATTGCTCAACTCAAGAATCAGATCAAGCAGCTGTACGAGAAGGTCAAGAAGGATAACCCGCATTTCTGGCCCGGTGTCCAGAACCCCATGTTGTACGCTTACGATGTACCGACTATGTATACTCCTGGTTCGCGAGAGGAGGCGGTGCTTATCTTCCGCCAGTCGTGGTACTCGTGGGCAGAGACGGAGCCTGCCATAACATACATTCGGGGCCTTATATTGCAGGATAAGTAGCCGAAGTAACGCAGACCTTCTAGGGACCTTCTACTAGAATATCAGATGTCCTGGCTATCACAGATGCAACCAAAATGATTGTCTGGTTACTTGTGCATGTAGGCGAACGCTAGGAAATTAGACCAGCTGGTCGCCGAGAGCCTAAACTGCGAAATAATATGGACACTTGATGCCGCTCAGCTCAGTAGTTATGTAGGGTTTCTAGGCTACTTTATTCTGGCTCTACTGGACTTTGAGCTCAATCTTCCTGCCAAGTCCCAATACGCCTAGTCCTGCTGTCTCGGACTGGAATGGCAGCAAGATTGAACCTCATGACTCGGATGTTGTCGCTCTCGTGAGAGAGAACAAGCGTGTCACCGACTAAGTGGGAAGCTTCCGACCTATATGCAACAGGCAGCCACATGAGTCTCTCTGATCCGCGGTATAGCCATTCATCTCCAACATAGAGTAGGTCCTTTGAGTCTTCCTGGTCTACGTTCCAGTGGTCCTCGCCTATCGCAGGTTTGGAAAGAGGAAGTGGTAACTGTCCCCGATCACAGACCAGATGTGTGTCATTCGAGAAAGAGAGGTCGGTAATCTCGTTTTTGACAATATACCTCCCAAGCTCACTTCCAGACTCAACATCCCACAGCTGAAACAACGTGCCTGTGCTATTATGTTCCTTCATCCACGATGTAGTGGCCAATAACTTTCCAGTGGTCGAGAAAGCGATGCCAGGGTATGGCGAATCCAACTCGTGTTCGCAGTTACCAGCTAACTTCAGCTGTCGTCGAGAAACTAAGGAAGGTGTTTCGCGAACTTCAACAGAAGAGGCTTGACTAATAGCCAAACAATGGCTTTGATCATGAAACACCAGACTGTTCGACCCGCGCATACTCCTTTCATCTCCCGTTGTTATATCCACAAGTGTCCAGTCGTTAGGCTGTTGAGGTTCATCAAGCTCGTTATGTAATGGTAATGGCGGCCTTTTTAATATAAAGGCCACGAAGTTGCTTTCTGGAGAGAACACGACGCCTGGATCGGACTTCCGATATCTATAGTGCTGCACGTTCGTTGCATAAAGTCTTCTCGTTTGTGATACATTCCATATCTCGCACACGTCGCCAGGCCGTCCTGATCGATCCCAAAAAAAGAGAATGCATTTGCCGTCTGGTGAAAACTCCAGGTATGTAACACCCGAACATTGACTTGTCATTACTCTCTTCAATGTCGTACAGTGGAAGACCTCGGCCTCACCCTCAGTTGTGATCATGGCTATGTAAGTACCCGTAGGCGAGAAAAACACTCCCTTCCATTGCCTGCAAGCCAGGACCTTGGTAGTCATGGTCACATCCCAAAGCTCACTTAGCACTCTCTTGTCATCTTCGTCTTCCTCTACATCGTCCTGGTCTGTTATCCGAAGAGACACAAATTTCCCATCCGGTGAAAACTCTATTCGTCTCACTTCGAGGTAGGGAAGAGTCAGTTGTCTACCCTCCAAATCGCGTGCAATCGTGATGCTCTGATCCCAAGTGGGGCAGTATACGAGAGACTTATTGGGAGAGAGAGTTAAGGTGTGAATGTGACCCTCGTCTTTCGTAGGCTCCTTGTCCACGGTCGTTTTGGATTGCATATCCCAAAGTCTGAAGTTGTTGCTATATCCGCACGATGCCAATAATTTACCGTCCCTAGACAGCGCAGCTCGGCGATGTCTACAAGATAATGAGAATCGCTCAAGCCCGGAAGTGTGGCCGGAGTCAAGAAGGACAATATCACCTTCTTTGGTTTTAGCCCACACCGAGGTTCCATTTGGTGGTGAGAGAATTTGCCAGTATGTACGGCCACAATACTCAATCTCATGTTCTCCTGTAAGGACGTTGAAGATTTTCACCGTGTCTTCTCGGGTGCAAATTGCTACCATAGAGTCATTGAGGGAGATGGTGAGTTCACGGACAGAGGCCGGTGGGAAGTTGTCAAACGTTCTGATGCAGTGGCCGTTCTGTGTATCCCAAATGGTAATGTCTTGCCCAAACTCTACAGTTATCAAATATTGTTCATCTGGAGTAAATCCACATGCACCATTCCAATACTTCCTCGGATGGGTAGGCTTAGGCAATACATGCCTTGCGTGCCTTTGGTCGATGGTCCATATCTTGAAGCTCGAGGGTTCAGCCGCAGATGCCAGCATCTTGCCAGTCCTTGGGGAATAAGTCACTTGCCTGACCCAACCATCATGACCGTCAAATTGGAATTTAGCCCCTCCAGCGAGCTGCCTTGCATAAACAGAGCCATCCCAGCAGCCGAATGCGACGGACTCTCCATCCAGAGAGAATGCAGCGAATGTGTAATCTGTGGAACTTTCGAATTTGAAACGTTCAGTTCCTGTGACCGTGTCCCATAGTCTCGCTGTTCTGTCATCAGATAGCGAAAGGATGAGATCACCAGCCGGCGAGAAGGCAACAAAATCCACTTCCATTGTGTGCCCCTGTATAACGGAGAGCTCCAATGTCCATTGGTCATCTACCACCGGCTGCTGCACAATCCAATTGGGAATGTGACTCTGGAATAGATTTCTTATCAAACTCGTTTTGGGACTGAAAACGAGCGTCGACACATAGATTTGCAGCGGTGCATTCTCAATGATCCACCGGTTAATAAGTGCGAAACGTCTCATATCGTAGATCAGACCAGACAACTGTTGGTGTTCTAGGGGCTGAAGCTTGTTAGAAAGCGTGCCGAATATTCCAGGGGATAGCTTACCTCGACTAAGGACCAGAGCCTATTGATCATAGTAATTGACGCGGCTGTTTCTTCTATGAGAGCCATTGTTTCAAGCCAGTATAAAAGGCTGTTTTGGAGGAATCTATGAACACTCCCATCATCTAGCAACCCGACCTCTCTTTGATCCGTTGCGTCCAGCTTCACGAGATGATCAACCCAATACCGGCATGCGTACCTCAAGGGAGGCTGAATGTGCTCTTCAATCCGTTCGCCCGGTATTTCTGAAGCCATGGTCCCGGGCCATTTTAGGTCGCAGATGTCTCGACGGAGCTCATTGGACATAACGTCGAGGCAGTAAAGAAATGCTTTCTTATGTATTTCAGCTTCATCAACTTGGAACATGAGATGCTGAGTTCGCTCTTTGCTCAAGATGAAGTCTCGAAACGACAAGTGCATCAGCTCGAGTGGAGACCTCTTGTCAGTGGGTATCGTGACGATGGCCTGAAGTTTCTTCAACAGTCGTGCCAGCCTGTCAGCTATGACACCAGATCCTTTGAAAACGGACTCAACAAATCCCTCAAGAGAAAGTATGGTCACAGGCTGAAAGACGGTTACAAGAAAGCCCAGGGTATTCTTCATGATCTCATAAGTCATCCGCCTGGCTGTTGGACTGAGCTTTTCACGGGCTGGAAATGATAAAACCTTGAGATAGATGTCATCAATTTGGTTCTGAGGACCATCGTCTCCCCAGTCATCGGTATCTGTACTGGTTTCCAATATTAGGTCGAGACGATCCTGTCTATCCAATGGATCGGCAAAGTCACCAGCATCTAGGAATCGACAAGCAGTTGCTGCATAGATGAACAGGCCATTGGACTTTTCACTGAGCTGCTTGATGGTAGTTGTGGAGACCTCGTCTTCCTCACAACCATGTTGCCTGGCTACCGCTCTCAAAGTGGAGCGAATGTATCGTGTAATGTCGTCGTTGTCACCCTCTGCGTCTAGCTTGATCTTCTTCAAAGGCACTGCCAGGTGTGATCCTTCTTCCAATTGACTGAAGGCTTGCTGAATATGCTCTTCGCGTCTGCTTGTAACCAGGATGCGAAGCTGCACTTTTTGAAGGTCCTTGAGCTGCATAGCCAAAAGACTGATAAGCTCTTTGGCTTGACCTCGGTCAAGACACTCATCTAGCGCATCCACTACAACGATTAGTCGTATGGGTAAGTATGTTTTCTGGTCAAGAATGGCGAGGGTGTCAGCAAGGAGATGTTGCAGTTGTTGCTGGGGCGCTTTCGTCCCAATGGTCAGGTTGTTGTTGACTGCTTGGGCGACGAGTGGCTTGAAGTCGTCGAACGTTTCTGCAAGTCTCCAAGCTACGGTCGTAAAGAAACGCTGGATGCCGTTTCTTGTGTTATCAACTTGTTTGAAGAAGAAGCTAGCACCAAGGAACGCTGTTCTGGGAGGACTTCGTCCCGTGGTAAGCGATCTTCTCTGTTTCAACGCATCTGCCACCGTCAAAGCAATACTTGACTTGCCGGTTCCAGCCATGCTGTAAAGCCAGAATATGAGTTCACCACCGGGGTCTTCTGCCCAATCGCCGATCTTGCACAAAATATCGTGTTGGGTGCCTTCGAGGCAGTAGCTCTGGGCGCTCAGAACCTTTGCTGAGTCGAATGCAGCATCTGCAGCAATCGGTAGTTTAAGCAACATATCCCTCTGCATACTGGTCAGCAGAATATTCTTTGCATATAGGGTCGCGTACTTCTTGTGTAGCTTGCTCTTTGATGTCCATCTGCTTCATCCTCGAGTCCAATTCATACATGGCTTTCAATGTCTCTATAGTTGTTGTCTCAATCTCCTTAACCGCAGCCCATGTATCTATGGTCCTGGCACCAAGTCGATCTCGGACAGCTTGGTCAACGAGTTGGCGAGAAGTGTCGATCTCCTTCCACTTCTGTTTCCAATCTTCGGGTTTGAGAAGTCCTCCTATGTTTCGACGCCATTTACCTTGTCCGTATTGCAAGACAAAACGAATTTGATAAAGATAAACCTTCTGGTAGATGTCGATGAGCTTGGTTTCAATGTTCGAGAGCAACTCATGGGTACTTGTGCTCGTAGTTTGACTAGATGAACTTAAAGATTACTTATTTGCCCAGCTGATCGCCAATCGCATTAGAAATATACCTTGCAGCTTCTGAGTCGTGAGTCAAGACTGATTCCTCCAGGTTTTGAAATCGAACAAGCATAAACAAAATCTTAGTGAGGCCATCTGCCGCGTCTTCGTCCTTTTGAAAGAGGTTTTCCATTATCTAGGAGATGTTGTCAGTATTCAGACTCAGAGATGGTGGAATATATATGCCAAGGACTGACAGGCAAAAAGCCCATAATACAGGCCCAAGCTAAAGCAGCCTGCGGTTCAGCTGACAGTGCTCCGCTGATGATTGGTTTGAACTGTTTAATTGTTTGAATGGCTTTCTGGATATGCTCTCGCACGACGATTCGTTTCCCACCCAATGTGAAAGACGTGCGAGCCTCAGGAAGATCCTCTAGCTTCTCCTTGGCCATAATCTGTATTCGTTTAAGTCGACCCCTATTCTGAGTGACAGATTCCACCCAACACTGCTGGGCTTCGGATGGTTGTTTTTGCAGGTAATTTTCGAACATTTCCAAGTCTTCAGCATGCTCGCTCTCTTGAACCTTCTCATAAGCCTTTGCCCAAAGATTGTTCAGGTGGAACGTCCCTTCCATGCTGTCCATCGGCCCGCTATTCTACGCGAAATAATTTGGCATTACTCTCAGAGATTAAGAGATGAAAAGAGAACCTAGAGTTAGAGAATTCTGACCCCGCAGAGTGAGATGTGATGTGATTAGTAAGGCTACCAATCCGCGTTGGCAAGAACCGCGCATCAGCCCCATATGAGAAGCACTTGAAAATACGAACTACATATTGTCTGATTATCTCAAAACAGGAAGGATAGAAGATAGAAACTAAAAAGCAAAAACTTCAAGTAAACTGGCGGTTGTAGGTTTAGGTAAATTGTGGATATATAAAGTCCGATCCATTGCATATAAAGAATGGCCTCTGTGATGTTCGCAGGGCCAGCGTTCCGCACAGAATCTCCTGAAATGGTGCTTCTCTATCGATCCAGGGACGTCCAGTTTTGAAATCCTTCTTAATGGTATTGTCAGTGGGGAGGATATTGAACCGGAGTTACATAGCTGCGGAGGGCTATTCAACCATTTACAGGTGTGCATTCTTGAGCGGCATGCTTCGTCATCACGGACGTCGTTGCTGATTTCCTAAAGGCATCTTTCTTAGGAGTGAAAACTTTCAGTCGACTCATGGCCTTGTCGTATGTTCGAGGCGTTTGGAAAAGGGAATCCGATGCTGAGCGGGGCTACGATTAACCTTGTTCAAACATGGACCTTCGATGACGAAATGCCAAGACAAGATTATAACTGGGACGGCAGACATTTTGGGGACTGGAAATCGCATGAAACCAACAGATCGGACGTGTTACCTCGGTTATCACTGGCAAAACAGAACGTGGGTAAGAAAAGATAGAGAGCAGAATAGGACACAGGGGATCCAGGGTAACATTCTAGAAATATGGGTTATAATGCCAATATCAGCGTCCAATTGATAGTGAAGGGTTTCGTATTACAGAATGGCACATCCAATCGGATGGGGAAACCCTGAAGTAGCGTGATAGTTCCGGATAAACGCTATCCTCGTTCCATGGGTGAATATCCGCAGCCATATCCGCAGCATCGGAGTTCAGTTGATCAAGTTGAACTTATGCGGGGAATGTTTTGGAGTCCGAAGCCAAATCTTCAGGCGGTACAAACCAGAATCACTGATCAGGTCATGGAATTGTTGGAGAAGTGGCTCCGGACAAGACGATGTGGGTTTGACAGAGACCGCTCTCCAAACCCGGTCCCTGATCTTTCTCTTGGAAATAGCAGGCTTTACACCAATTTCACGTCAAAGGATGTATCAATTACAGTTTGAAGATGATCAAATGCTCACGTAACTGCTCTCCTCTCGCAACTTGTGTCAATCATCTGACCAGATTCTGGGGAACCTGTCCAACTCTCGGCATTACTCGCGGCCTTGTTCTTCTTCAAGACCGGGGTAGACGCGCTAAAAAAGCATGGGGCTCCGTGTTGGGATTGGGGAAGAACGCGTGAGGACGAAGGAAGGTTTGGAGAGACTGGGGCATGGGCTTGGGAAACCCGTTTTATTTACGTCGTTGGGTCGGTTTCCACTGGGGAGTCTGGAAAAACGTTTCCATGGTTGGAGTCAAGCGAGGAGCGAAGGTACAGGCGATTGCTGCATTTATGATGATCTACCAGATGAAGAGAGACGTGAATTTGTGCGAATATCGATCAGCAAATACGAATATCAGATCAGTTCAGCTTGACCAAAGAGTGAGTCAAGCGAAGCCGGAATAGAACTGCCGAAATCAAGGTGCATCTCACTAAACCAATTAGATTATTTAGTCTCTAGTTATCCGACACTCAACCGAAATGTGGTCACGATCACCGGCACTAGGTCCTCATTTCGAGACACCAACAAACTTCTTGAATCGTACCGTTGCATACTAATGACTCGTACCCGCTCAGAACAGGGGATTTCGGCAAACATGAAGAACCAAAAGATCAAATCATTGCGGGGTGAACGGTTACTCTCCTGATCTGAACGGGCTCAGCTAAGTGGAACTGGGTAACATCCAAGTCTTAGTTAACGCTCCTTGCTCATAACCTGGGGAACTAGAAACTGGAGACCCCGCGATCTAAGCTTGTTTCTTGTCGGGTGACGGCGGAGCGGAATTGGGTCTGTCTGTGGGTTTACATATATAACTGTTTGCTGATCGCACCTTTATTTTTTGGGCCTGTTGCTTTTCTCTTAGACACTAATTCTTTAAGCTTATTTGAAGCCATGGCTGTTGATAACAATGATCAGCCCGCTATGGGCGGCGTCATGGCTGTTTTGCCGAACCCTACGACGCCTTGGTACAAGCAGGCTCATTTGGCCAAGCTTAATGGTCTTATCCTTGGTTTGGTCTGCTTTCGTGAGTATTGGCCTTCGTCTCTTATCATACCTTCACTAACAGAAATCGACAGAGTCTGCCATTGGATATGATGGTAGTTTGCTCAACTCCCTCCAGTCCTTCCCCCAATGGAACACCTTCATGGGTAACCCGACCGGCGAGTGGTCCGGATTCATCAACTGTTCCTACTTCATCGGCTTCATCGTCGCCTGCCCTCCCAGCTCATGGCTCGCCAACAGATTTGGCCGTCGTATACCAATCTTCGTTGCTTTCATTCCACTTGCAATTGGAGTTGGTCTCCAAACAAGTGCCCAATCTGAAGCTCAATGGATTGCTGGTCGTTTCATTCTTGGTCTGCCAACTGGCATGTTCGCCACTGCGGTACCTCTTCTCATCACCGAGATTGCCTATCCTAGTCAGCGAAGTGTTGTTTCGGCTCTCATGAACTGTAACTACTTCGTTGGTGGTATCATTGCATCTTGGGCCTCGTATGGTACGAGACACTATGATGACTGGGCGTGGAGAATTCCTACCCTTCTTCAAATCGCCTTGCCTCTATGTGGTCTTCCTGCTCTGATCATGGTTGATGAAAGCCCTCGATGGCTGATCTCCATGGGACGTGAAGAGGAGGCTCGCCGAATTTTGGCAAAGATGCACGCTGTAAGTTCATCTACTGGTATAATTCCCCAGCGTAATTCTAATTATTCTCACAGGGAGGCGATGTCAACCACCCTCTCGTCGACTTCGAACTCCACGAAATTATCACAGCCATCGAATCCGAGAAACAAGCCACCAAGTCCACATCCTACATGACCCTGGTCTCCACCAAGGCTCACCGTCGACGATTCTTCATCACTCTCACCCTCGCCATTTACTGTCAATGGGTTGGTAACGGAGTCGTCAGCTACTACCTTGCCACAGTCCTCAGCACAGTCGGTATCACTAGCGTCACTGATCAGACTTTGATCAATGGCTGCCTTCAGATCTGGAGCTTGATCGCTGCATGCACTGGTGCCTTGTGTGTTGAGCGTCTTGGACGACGTCCTCTTCTCTTGCTATCTTGCGCTATCATGCTTGTCAGCTTTATCCTAATCACTGCTTTGTCAGGAAGCTTCGCTGCCAGTGGATCCAAGGCTGTTGGTATCACCATGATCCCATTCATCTTCTGTTTCAATGCCGGTTACGGTGTTGCTATGTAAGCATAAACTCGTACTTTCTACTCCGGCCATGTTACTAACAAATTCCCCAGTACTCCTCTCCAAGTCGCCTACCCTCTCGAGCTGTGGCCCTTCCAGCTTCGCAGCCGTGGTATGTCCGCGCTCTGGATTATCATGATCTCCGCCCTCATTTTCAACGTGTTCGTAAACCCAATCGCTTTGGCTGCTATTGGCTGGAAGTACTACATCGTCTACGTGGCCCTGCTCGTCTCTTACGGTCTCGTTATCTTCTTCTTCTACCCCGAGACTAAGGGACGTACACTCGAGGAGATCTCTGTCGTCTTCGGTGACGCACCTGAAGGTCTTTATGAGACTGAAAACACCAAGGTTTCGGAGAAGGCGGATGTTAAGCACTTTGATTAAGATCTTTGGCAGCAATATGTGTAACGTTTGACGAATTGTATTTTTATTTCATAGCGATTGACTAAAGAGTCCCTCTATACACCGGGTCTCTCGACTTGCCCTTCTCCCTCAACGTTTCCCCATCCCCGTGAGGAATTAAGTCTTCTTATGAGGTTCAGGCCCGGGGTAATTCCAGGTCTCCACGCCCTGAGAATCCACGCTGTGGAGAGTCCCGATAACATTGGTGCCGTTCGCGAGCGCTTCGTCGTTGACAGCTCGTCTCTTACCGCACTTTGAGCAATACAATTCTTTTATGTCGGTCACAGCTCCACAGATCTGGTCGAGCATTCTGCCTTGACACTTCCACATGGTGTGTTCCTGTCGTGGCTTATTCTGTAGACCCATGGTGTATGATGGTTTGGTGTTGCTGCTGGGAAACGTTTTGATGGTTGTATTCTGGCTGTTGATCTCTGTTTTCCTGAGTGTAACAATGGTGTGTTGTGTGCTGTTTGGCCAAGCTGTAAACCGTCTTGTATAGATATAGACGATATGGAGGTTTGAACTACTGTGATCAAGCAGCCGAGACGTGACTGTGCTAGGTGAATCAGTGTCAACTATCTACCACGGGTCTGGGTGAATCAGGGTCACGAAATTGTCAGTCATAGTGACACGGGACGCTACTTGTGCTACTTCCACCGATGTAAAAACATCGTTACTCACTCAGGCAGCTTCAGTCGTATATGTGATTTGGTGGCAAGAAGGAGTTGAATTCTGTGGCTGAATGAGGATCTCCAAAAGCATGATTGTTGACTGTGTCAGAACACGTACAATACGGTAGTGAAAGACTTATCTCCATGAATTTTATATGGGGCTAAAATATGTAACAGTGATGATTTGAAACCACGGCATGCATGTCACAGAAAGAATGAAGGGTGATGGTAAAGAAGCTTGATATTGAGATAATCTTTTAACAAAGGAAAGCTAAGTAATATTGCCGAGGAAGGCCATATCTCAGAAACTAAAATTCTCTTTAATGAGACAGCATTGTCTTTACATCGACTATGCCTTGACGGCTTTGATGGCAGATGAAAGAGTGGGCTTCTGCGCTTGAACAATAGGAGCAAGCGTCGCAACGGTAACATGCGGCCACTTGAGTCCGTTGAAATCCAAAAATACCATCTGAGAATACTGAATCTGAGAATAAGCGACGGTAACAGTCTTCCTCTCTGCAGGAATCTTCACATCCTTGTCGATATAGAACTCCGGCACCGCATCTCTGGGCCCCTTGGCAGCAGGGGAAACGGTCTGGCCGACACGCATTCCAGGATCGAGTTCAACTTCAGCGTGGATCTTGGAGACCCAGTACTGAGCGGTCACATCGACGGCATTGGCGTTTCCATTCTTGTCTGCCTTCTTGGCTGGGCCCTTTTGACCTGCGTCGGCGCCGATGTTGAAGCCGATGTTGGATGTTCCGCCGCCGAACTTACCGGCGGGTGCATTGGTTGAGACAGTAAACATGGTGTTGTGGACGATGTGCTTGCCCTTGTTGGCTTGGGAAAGGATTGTGTTCGGGTCATTGAGGATCTCTTGTGTGATGGTGCCGTTCTCCATGAAGAGGGTCAAGTCTTGGGGAAGGCGACGCGAACTGTCATCACTAGCTGTCTGGCTGTTAAACGTCGCCTTCTTTGCCTTTTTTATCGCAACATCAACGGGGCCTGGGCCAAGTGGAAGGACAAGGGGGGTGATATCGATCTTGGGAAATTTGGGTGCACCAGGCTCAGTGACAGGAGCGTCAAAACCTTGAGCGTTGATGGTAGTACCGTGAGGGATAGATCCCATACGGCAGAAAGACATAGGAAGTTCTGGCATCTCTTCCACCTTAGGAACTCTCATCCAGAGTCCAGGCTCAAAGTGGATGCCCGGAGGGTTTGCAGGTGCAGTCTGCCCTTCAGGAGGCGGCATAGCATCAACGATTGTCTGCGTGTAGGGAAGACCAATCAGAGTGATATCAGCCTGCTCGAACAGCCCACGGTTCGGGACATCTGTCAACAGATCACCGAAGACCTGAGTCTCGCCAGTGAGGTTGAGTTGTAAAAGGTTATCATCAAACTGGTCAGTTGGCTCTTTGGGGAACTTGGTTGGAGTCTTTCGACTAGCGGGTCGGAAGATAGTGTTGAATCCGTAACCGCTGAATGTGCCCTTGAACTCAGCTAGGGCATCCAGGGGCGGAGGGGGAGGGCCCTTTTCCTCAGTGGTCTTGTGGTGGCCGTTCTTGAGCTCATGATGACCATTCTTAGACTCGCCATTGAGGTGGAGAGCTGGTTGAAGAACGGTCGGACCATAGTTAAACTCCCTTGGGATATCAATGATGACGGAGGGAGCAGTAGGTGCGAGGTCCTCAAGAGTTACCTCCATGGCTGATAAATGGTAGAAAGGTTGGGGTAATAAGAGGTGATGAGGATGGTGAGGATGGTGAGGTTATGGGAAGAATTGAAGTTGATGTAGTGGGCATGGGATCCCTTTTATCTTCTACGGCGAAGAGAACGTCACAGGAAGAGACTTTGTGATCATGGTGGTCTGGCAACCCGGGAGATTCCCCTCACGTCTGGATGCCATGAAGTCTGTCAACACAAAGGTGACTTGTTCCGCCTCCATCTCAACGTTTAGAAGTCTAGAACGTAACTTCAGTCACTGTGGCTTAAATGAGCAGCCGCGAACTGACGGATATCTGCAATTGGAATATTCTGACCGCTCAGCTGTGACTTAGGATCGAACGCTCTAGTATACACCAATGAGAGACCACATGGCGGCGTAGAAATAGAACGCATCTCATAGGTCGAAGAGATCTATCACAACTACCGCTTTTGTGCTACCCGCCAGAACTAAGACATTGCCGTTTGCGCCGCATATCTGTCGAGCGGGGTAGTGAGTTGAAGTCCTCTCTGGAGGGCGAGTTGATGGAGAAAACAAGCCCTGTTTGAGAAGCTGATGCATTTTCCCCTGTGATCAGGCAGCCACAAAAGGTTCTCGATGTGAAAAGAAGATACCAAGTCCGAGACATATTCAGCCAGTGCATAACCCCTGCTTTCAGCCGCAAGAAACCAAGAGGAATGATATGGATAACTCCAAACGACCCCCACCATTTGACGGAGTAGAAAGGGTATTTCAGCCGCCTTATTCAGCGCCATGTTTGTGACCAGCCGCAGCGTCTTTTCCATTTTCGAAGGTTCCGAAACGTCGAGACCGTTGTCCCCATTTCTTTGTCTTAGACGCTGAAATATTAGTGTCTTGATTGGCCCATGGTCTCAGAGCCCTGTCGAGATAATACAAGTAGAAAAGATGCTATTCGCTAAAGTCCGAGACCTGCAGAATATAGGCGAACCGACCTAGATCCCTGCACCTTTTGGGGCGATGAATGAGACAATATCGCCAAGGAATTCGATAGCTTAATGCGGGTAGATCAACGGAGGTGCGAACAGCTCCCATTAGCTAGCCATCTTCTCATCCGAGACGGACTCGCCGGAGAAAGGTCTATTGAGAATTCCTGGGAAATGCCATGTGAGCGACTTACCATTTCGCGTTCTTCGTTAGTAGCCATTCCTACATGCAAATTGTCAATAGCCGATTTACTAATGCAGGAATGTAAGTTGAGCGACAGGCTGGATCTAGACGGCCAAGACTCAGCTGAATGTTCACCGGTCAAAGACCTCCACTCGTTATCAGGCGAGACGCTTGAAATGCTATTGTCGCAGCTGTCAAAAGTAATAGCAAGAATCACCATACGTTAGGCAGTAATAAGTTGTATATAAATAGCTTATTTCCTGACAATCATGGAATTATTTGTACTCAAGCAGCTTTTTCATTTCATTCAATCCATTCACGATGACTATTCTACCAGCCATGGCCTCCACTGTTGAGGAAACTCATCAGCTCACCTCCTCCTACAAGCACATGTGGGCACGTAACGTTGCCCAAAAGACAATGGACTATGATTTTAAGGGAGTTAAAGAGTTGGTCCCTGATGCTTCCAACATCAAGACCATCGGTAAGTTGAGAGAGGTCACTGAAGAAAGAACTGGTCGTGGTTACATACCTAAAGCCGATGGTCAAATTGATGTCGGCATTGTTGGCGCTGGTGTCGCCGGTTTGTTTACTGCCCTTCTGTTTGACTGGCTCAACGATCATCCCGACCTGAAGGGCAAGGGTCTGAAGATCAACTACGATGTTCTTGAAGCCGCTGGGGCACAAAGGCTTGGTGGCCGTCTTTACACTCATCACTTCTCCGATGAGGAGCATGATTACTATGATGTTGGCGCCATGCGCTTTCCCAACAATTCAATCATGAAGAGGTAAGCCTGAAGACCACATACCCTTCCACAGCGTGCAAAATTGACCGGCCATTCCCTAGAACATTTCAGCTCTTCGAATATATCGGTATCACCCAGACTAGCAAGCCAGGCTTGATCCCTTACTACCTTAAGGATATCGACAACGTCTGCCCATCATACTTCAACGACATTTCCAAGTGTGGCGATGTCTGGGCCGAAGGAATGAATCCCGATGATCCCTATAAGATTAACAGTGGCTTAGCTCCTAATGGCCAGATCCCAGCTGAGTATGGCCTATACTGAATTATCTTAGTGAGATCAGATCTAACTCGTTTCAGGTATCTTAAAGAAGATCCCGGTCATCTTGTCGGGAAGGCTCTGGGTAAATTCTTGAAACATGTCGAGGACAAATTCAAGGAGATCATCGCGCTGAAGAAGCAACATGAGGGTAAAGCTGGAGAGGTGCATGACGATGACCTAACCACCAAGTCCACGGCCTTGTTTCAATTACTTATGAAGGCTGACCATATGAGCGTTCGTCAGTACCTTGGCTCGTGAGTTCAGCCACCAAGGGACTCCAAGATAAAAGCTGACAAACCTCCAGAGGCCAGAAGGACAAGAATAAGAAGACAGAGGAACTCTCAGTAGGCGACGACGAGGTTCCTCTGGGCCCTGGATACAATTTCAACACGATTGAGTGGCTCGAGACGGCTACCTAGTAAGCATTCCAGAATCATCGCAAGCTGCAGCAACTGACCTTGTATAGCGGAACCGGATGGTACGACCAGTCCCTCACAGAATGTGTCTTGGAGGAGCTCGATTTCCATACCGACGACATGGACAAAGACTCACCAAACAAGAACACTCAATACTGGTGGTGCGTCGATGGTGGCGCTCAAGAAATCGCCAGGAAGATGGCTGTCAAGGCCAAGAAGCGCGTCGAGTTTAACACAAAGGTCCAATCAATTGACGCTCAAGTTCCCCGGCGCCGCGCCAACGAATTCACTCCAATGAAGATCAAGACCACAAGAACGGACCCCAAGACGAACAAGGTTGAGAGCAAGGACCGCGAGTACTTCGCCATCTTCAACAGCACTACTCTCGCTGCTCTTCAGCGCATGGAGTTGCGCGATGCTGGCTTGTCTTATGGAACTAAGCAGGCTATCCGAGCACTTGGGTACGGCGCTTCGTCCAAGGTTGGCATGAAGTTCCGAACTGCATGGTGGCAGAAGGAACCCTTCAACATCAAAAAGGGCGGAGTGTCTAGAACGGACCTACCTCTGCGTGTCTGCGTGTACCCTTCATACAACATCAAGTCCAATGAAGGAGATAAGTGGGATCCTGAGAAGCCAGCTGTGCTACTCTGCTCTTATACCTGGGGTCAAGATGCCCAGCGTATTGGGTCCCTTTGCTCACCCGACTCTCCTCAAAACGAAGCGGAGCTCAAGCGTCTCATGATCCACGATCTTGCTCGGCTTCACGCCAGGGTTGACTATCCTTTTGAGGATCTAGTCAAACTTCTGGAGGAGCAATACATCGACCATCACGGCTACGACTGGTACAGAGACCAGAACATGTCTGGTGCCTTTGCTTACTTTGGCCCAGGCCAATTCTCCAACATGTGGCAGGAGATCATCAAGCCTAACGCGTTCGGTCAACTCTATCTCGTCGGAGAAGCAGCTTCTTCCCACCACGCCTGGATCGTCGGCGCGCTGGAAAGCGTGATTCGAGCAGTATACGTCATGTTTCAAGGTCTTCAGAACGGCAACAAGAAATTCGAAGCCTACAGCATCGTGTTGGACTTGCTCAGACAAGCGCCTACTGAGCCAGGTGAGAAGGGAGATAAGGAGAATAATGAGGACATTGGTCAGCCTTTGGAGAGAGGCGGTGCTATGCCCAAGGGCTTGCCTTTTCACCCGCTGCCTGAGGAGATGCCTGAGACGCAGTTCAACACACAGGGTCAGGGTTTGACTGACAGCCCATCAGTGGAGGCTGATCCTAAGCAGCAGGTTGAGATGACATATGGTGCTGCGTTGGCTACGTTGAGTTTGATTGAGAGTTTCTTTGAGCTGGGGCTGGATAAGCATGTCAAGCCGGCGTCTGAGACTATTAGCTAGATGTGAATGTTATTCGATTTTCTTTTGTATTTGAGATACTTTATTGGTCGCGTCAACCACATCACTGTTTGATGTTCAGGTGATAAAGGAAATTGTGATGCAAATACCAGGTATTCAGGACGGATCAATTTGAAGAAGTTGCAAAAAGACAGATGGAAAAGCCGTACTGCTCAACGCTTTCCGATTGATTGTTCATGATTGACCACAAAAGAAAAAGGTCGTTGATACAAGAGATAGGGTAGATAAAGTGGGCAAAAAGTCAAAAATGTCGGTGGAGAGGCTCGAACTCTCGACCTTTGGATAACCCTGGTGTTTAACCGAGTCAATCTGAGAAACCAGATATGAGACCAACGCTCTAACCAACTGAGCCACACCGACCTGTTCATTTGCGATGTTATGCCAATCTATGTACCCCAGCCAGAGCTCTTGACCAGATAACACCTTCAGCACAATGACTTGGGAGAAGGGGTTGAGAACGGATTGTGCTACCGGCGATACAGACAGAAACATCCGTCGGGTCAATTGATACGTACAGGACAACGAATCTTAAAGTTTCTTCAAACAAAGTTACATCTTTGCGCATTTGACTGATTCTTGCGCAAGTCAATTGAAGGAATCATTCGACGAAGTATAAAAGGTATGGGTATAAAATAAACTATTGTACAAACGGAAGATATTTATGTTTTAGTAGTGCCCTAGACGCCGGGCCTGGTCTCTGGCATGTTATTCCCATACTTCATCTCGCTGGAGGTCCTTGATCTAGTCGTTCTGGTCTCTTCTACAGCCGCCTTTGAACTATTTTCGTACACGACATCAACATTTGTCGTCCGCATAATCCCGTTATACGTCATAATCTCTTCTTCCGACCCAGTCGGCGACACACTTCGAATCTCAGTATGTTGATTCCTTGATCCTCGAAGGTCTTTAAGGTGTATGTTATCGTGGTTATGCGACCTCAATCCATTGGTTCCACGAGTACCAGTTCCGTATCGGTCGGCGTAGGGTGTGCCGGATGTTACTCCAGAGCTTCCTCCAAAGAGTGAAGGGAACCATCGTCGGAAAAGCGGTCGGAGAGCTGGGATGGAAGCGCAGATGATGGCGATGTTTGTTTCGACGGCACCCCAGACCGGAAGAACGGTATAGAATGTGTCCTCGCCTGGGTCGGGTCCTTCGACGAGCTGGTGATGAATAGAGATGACTCGCACGATGCCGATGATACCGACTCTGCAATTTGTTAGTATCTTGGAGATTGATGTGATGCGAAAGTACTTACAGACTACCCAGGACAAAGACACCGATCACAGCAATCTTGGTCGCCCATCGCATTGATAGACCCAAGAAGATCCAGAATGGCAGCGCAACAACAAGGAAGTCCGTCACGATAGTGATGCAGGAAGCAATGACATGGAACCAGTTATCAACACACTGCACCCCCGGCTGCCCTCGTAGCGAGAAATCCCAGTTTGCTTCAATCGGCCAACATTGGAAGAGTGCAGTGAAGAAGATAGCGACGGCGTGGAGAGCGTTGAAGATATTGAGTCCGTGAATTGCGTATCGTACGTTCGTTTTGTGACCACCCAGTCGAAGAAGAAAGACGAGGATCGAAGCCTTGACGAGAGCGAGGACGGGGTTATAAAACATTTGCACGAGGAAGTTCCACCAGAAACCGGCGCGCATATCGAGATCTTTCGGTACATCGTAGGCTCTAAATCCCCAGTAATTGAGTTTCATGACTAACATGCGAGTGTTAGTACAATAAGAATGGGAGATTGGAGACAGAGACGACTTACACATATAAAGAGGTGGGATCATAAGCAGAGCAAAAAGCTGACGATGTTAGTTGTCTGGACGATTGACTGGTAAATAGTGTACTTACCAGCGCTCCAAGAATAAGGTAGTCATCTATAAGAAACAGTGAGCATTTGGCATCTAGCACAAGTCTTGTAATTGCCTACCTAAGCCTGTCGTCCGTGAGGTCACGCGACTGTAAATGCGCATTGACACGAACAAGATCGACAAAATTGGAAAGATGAACAAGGCAGCAAGGCCTTTTTGCTGCAATGGTGTCGTCGGAAGCGTCGTGGGATTAGGGAAGGGCGGCGGTCCCGTGCGGGCGTAAATATGTGACCAGTCCATCATGAAAGTCCAAGCAAACGATTGTCGAAACCCTAAGATGTTGCATGCAACTTTAAGTTGCTTTTGAGAGACGATGCAACGCGCTGATCCGGAAGACCTTTGCGATCGGTCACGTTTGATCCGCCCTTGGCAGCAGGGGAAGAAATGGAGACGGAAGGGAAAATCGGAAAGAAGATCATTTAGATATAACAACGATGGGTCACTACGAATTTATGTACATTGTTGGTTCCAGGGGCAGCAGAATCTTCAAAGCGCAATAAGGCTGCGTACTCAAACAGAGTTTGTGAGGGAATCAGGCTTGGCCCGTGAGTGAAGAGCTGAACCACCATCTTGCATACGATGTGAGACAGCAGATCAGTTTCTGGTTCCTGGGAAACGACCACCAAAGAGGAAAGTGATACCCGGGACTTGGTAGCAAAACTCCCGACTGTTGGTTCTAGACTTGATGCTTGTTCTGTCCCTCGTCCAAGGACTCGGGGCTTCAGCTCTTTCTGTGCCACATATCCCGCATTGCGTCCGACTGCAAGATTGGTTGGGCATTCAGGACTGAAGTGGGATGGGGAAATTACATGCCAGACCTAGCTGTGTTTACGGTTATGCATGTTGGTTGTCAAAGGATTGATGGTGGAAACAGTTAGTTGGTTGTTTGGTGGCGTCTGCTAAAGAACATTTCTGCCTGAGCTTGTATTGGTGGCTGAAACACGTCAGCAGCCTCAGCTAAAACTTGTCAATCTTCATTTTGTCCTTCCATCAAACCAGAAAATAACCAAAGAGGAGATTCGTCTCAATTGTACAGCAGTCAGACTTTTCTAGCGTCTTTAGATCTCGGAGTCAAGTGGGATAGACAATCCTTCAAGCTTAAGCGATAAGCATAAAAGAACCACTCATCTAATCTCTCTTCCTTCGCTTATACTCAAACGGCCAAGATCGCCATTCGAGGGATTTATTAGCCTAAATTTCTTCAGTAAGGAATCTTCAACAACCAACGCATTAACAGCATGCAACGTACAGGAGGACCCCGACGTCGCTTAAGCGAGGAAATCTTGGTGGACCGGACCCGAGGATCCCTTCCCCAGATCCCTGAAGCCCCGAGCTTTTGTACCGGGTTTACAGCCAGTCGCAACCCTAATTGTGATCCATCGCGCGTCTCAGCTAGACAGCTTTCTGATGATCTTTTCTGTATTGAGATGATCCTCGTCAGCGGGAGGGCGGGAGAGCGAAGGTTACAATGACTTTAATCAGACAGACAATGGAGAGAAAATTGGAGAGTTTTGAGATGGAAAGCTGAGAGATGATAAAAATGTCATTAAGAACAAACCAGATTCTTTGCTAATGTTATTCCTAGTGCTCTCGGCAGTTGACATCTACCGGTGGTCTAGAAGACACCGCTCAACATAAGGTTCTTGGGCTGACCAGGATCATGAACTTTGTCGGTCATACATTCCCATGCCGTAAAATTTGCCCGTATGCATAATGCTGTTGGTTGTCTCCCGCTCCAATCACAATTATGATGTGTCACACAGATTCTAGACTTGGCAAACACCATCTGTTGGTCGAATACCGTTACCAATGGAACGCAATTAGAAGAAGCCAAGCTTATTGATCGAGCATCATGATCCACCGGGGAATCTTCCGTTGTGCTAAAGAAAATAGCGCCAGTCGGAGTATCATCCGTCCGCGTTCTATTCGGGGTTTTCGCAACCGAACATCTGCAGGGCCTTTCATCCTGCCAGGCCTCCCCTCGTCCTGTTCGCTTCCCCACCGTCAACCAACAGACAGCATGGATGGGTAATCGGCCCATGATCCAGAAGTTCAGGTAATTACTACCTAATGCGTACTAACCACCGTTCTGACATTCAACCAACGCCCGCTGGGAGGATTGTAAAGACTAGTGTTAGATATATAGTCTGTAGAATGTGGCTTAAGACGATCTCCTTCCCTTTCATCTTCTTCATCCCACTCTCGTTCCTTTTTCTTGGCGTCCCTGCAGCCTGTAAACTTTGAACATGCAAGGCTCTCATTTCTCGTGGCTGCTTGCCGCGCTCGTCCCTTTTACCCTTGGTCAGACGATCGATGTCGATGGCAAGGCGGTCCGTATGTAACTCTGTTCTTATTTCTCTGTTGATCCATCGCTAATCTGAAACATTGAATAGCTGCGGATGAGAGCAATGTTGCCCCTGCTTGGACAAAGCCTGTGACTGCTTCTTCCAAAAGCCCTTTCGCCGATGCTACTCCTCAGCTGACTGATGCTGTCCTTGCTAACCTCACCGACTTGAACTTGAGTGATGTTGACCTATTCTACTTTGCCGACACAAAGACATCTAAGAAGCGAAATGCCCTTTCCCACTCCAAGTGCAAGGTCTTCCCTGGCGACAAGGCTTTCCCTGGCAAGTTCATCTGGAGTGTCTTTGACCTTCTCACCGGCGGCGCACTCATCAAAACTGTTCCTCTTGGCTCAGCTTGCTACAAGGGTGAGCACTACGATGAAGAGAAGTGTAAATTCCTTCTGGACAACTGGTCCAACAGCACAACACATATCGATGATCCTACATCGGTCATGTCCCCTCTCTTCCAAGGCGCCACCTGCGAGCCCAGCAACGCTGCCTCAGGCGGCAAGTGCACCATCGGTGGCTTCCCCCTGTACGCTATGAAGGCCACCAACGTTGCTCAGATCCAGCTCGCTGTCAACTTTGCCCGCAACCTGAACCTCCGCCTTGTCATCCACAACACTGGTCATGACTTCCTTGGTAAGAGCACTGGTGCTGGTGCTCTTAGCATCTGGACACATCACCTGAAGGATGTCAAGTTCACCAAGAACTACCGCGGTAACAGCCAGTACACTGGTCCTGCTTTCAAGCTTGGTGCTGGTGTTCAGGTCAAGGACTTGTATCAGGCTGCTGACAAGGAGGGATACACTGCTGTCGGCGGAGAGTGTCGCGTAAGTTATTCCCCTTTGAACTTATTTGATCTAAGCTAATGTGTTCTTAGGATGTCGGTGTTACTGGTGGATACCTTCCTGGAGGTGGTCACTCTCCTATCAGCCCTATCGCTGGTCTTGCTGCCGATCAGCTTCTCAGTGCTGAGATCGTCACACCCGATGGTCGCTTCGTCACTGCCGATGAGAAGCAAAACACTGACCTCTTCTGGGCCATCCGTGGTGGTGGTCCCGCCACATGGGGTGTCGTCGTCTCCATGACTGTCCGTGTCTACCCCAAGATGTCCTTCTCCGGTATGACCTGGAGCGTCGTGACCAAGCAAGCCGGTATCTCAGAAGAAAAGCTCTTCAAAGCACTTGAGGCTTACTGGCGCCGCTTCCCTGAGTACTCTGACAAGAAGAGCTACGGTTACGGTTTCATCTTCCCCCAGGGCAATGGAAGCTATCTGTGGACCATGAACCCTTGGATGGTTCCCAACATGCCCCTCCCTAAGTTCAAGAAGATGGTTCAGCCTCTCCTTGATGAATGGAAGGAACTTGGCGTTGACCCAAAGCCCGAATTCTTCCAACACGACAGCTTTTACCCTGCCTGGAAGACTCACTTCCCTGCCGAGAATGCTGGCAGCTACACCGGTCGCTCTGGATCTCGTCTCATTCCCCGTAAGAACTGGGACGACTCCAAGCTTCTCGACAAGACCATTGAGACTCTGAAGGGTATCCTCAAGGAAGATGGTGTCCTGGTCCTCTACAACATCAACGCTGAGCAAACCAAGGAGACTCCTGCCAACTCAGCCAACCCTGCCTGGCGCGACGCCAACATGTTTGTCATCACCGCCCTCAACTGGAAGCTCGACGACACCGAGGAGGAGATCGCTAGGGTGAACAACAAGATCACCTTTGACATCATGGAGCGTCTCAAGGCTGTTACCCCCGGTGGTGGCGGTTACGGTAACGAGGGTGATGTTATGGACCCCGACTTTGGTCAGTCTTACTTTGGATCTAACTACAAGAAGCTGTACCAGTTGAAGCAGAAGATTGATCCTTATGGTCTCCTTTATGCTCCTACCGCCGTTGGTAGTGAGGATTGGTACATCACTGGGCAACCCGCCTATGTGACCAGGCAGACTGGCCGACTGTGCCGCAAGTAGATGACATAGATTACTAGACTAATTAACACCTTTGCAATAATACATCCTGTTTTACCTGCGAAATGGAAGCCTTTATGCCAATGCCACACTAAAACAAAACCCTGGTGCAATCGCGAGAGTTCCAACTTCTGCTCACGATCAATTGCTTATGATCATTTGCGAAAAAAGACGGAGAGAAGAAAATGTATGCGTCATTAGAATTGCCGATTACTGTTTCAAAATCACATACCCATCGCCAACTATCCAAATCATATACAATGGAACCTAAATCAAGATCATATCCATATCTACATTACAACACAACCACCACTCCCCTCTTTACCATCTCCGCCACAGCCGCAGCAGTCATCGCCGCAGCAATCGTCGCAATCACAACAACTTTTACACTCACAACAGTCATCACCACAGCAGTTGTTGCACTCACAGCAATCATCGCCACAGCACTCGGCACAGCATCCAGGCTCTTCGTTCTGATTGTCCGTCTGAAAGTCCTGGGCTGGCGGCTGCTCATAACCAGCTGGTTGATCATCATTGTTATCACTGCTGTATTGAGCTTCCGGATCATAGTTGTCATTATATCTGTCACCATGATCGGATCCATTGTCAGAGTAGTAGTATTCTCCGTTGTCGTAGTACTCGCTGTTGTCGTAGTAGTCGCCTTGCTGATACATAGAATTGTCGCTGTTGTCGTACTGGTACTGGCTGTTGTCGTAGGTGTAGCTACTATCTCCTTCAAACGTTGGTGGAGCTGCTGTTGTAGTGGTTGTGGATGGCATAACCAGCTCCTCCGATTGCGGCTGCACCTCCAATAACACCAGCAGTTTTCATAGCTGTGGAACTTCCGCTTTTATGACCACCACCGTGGCTTTGAACTGGGCGATGTACTGGTGCAGGACCACCTCTGTGTGCTGGGGCTGGTCGATATTGAGCAGGTCTTGCTTGTTGAGGTCTTGGTGGTCCCTGTCTCGGTGCTTGTGCGGGCCTTGGTCCTGGAGCATAACCTTGCTGAGGTCGTCTCATCTGAGCCATCTGCATGCCTTGATGAGGTGCAGGCTGTCTTCCGACGGGTGGGCGATTAGTCGCAACGGGTCTTGGTTGTGCGACTGGCTGATTGGGCGCTCGCCTCTGGACAGGCTTTTGACCCGGACGACCGGCGGGGGGACGTTGCGCGCCAGGAGCTGGGCGTGCCTTGGCGGCGGGCTTCTTTGGTGGTTGACTGGAAAGGATTGCTGTCAGTAACCATTCCAAGATTGCCGAGCTGGATCGAGCAGCGCCAGGGCCGGTTGTGTTATTGGTCGTCAAGCAAGGGAATCGATCAATGGGACTTACTTGACCATCTTGTGAGCTAGACGTCTCTTCTTTTACTGTTCCAAGAAACCACTAGACCAGGTACAGACAGCCTTTACAGAACAAAGAAGAGAAACAACAAGACCGAATTCCCGACGGCAGAGCAGGTATATAAGGCCATTGTGCAGCGTGCTTGCCACTGGAAGCTGACATCTCACAAAGCGGCCGACCCAGAGCCTCCCGTTCCCAAAACTGAAACAAATACCACGCTGACAACTGCAGGTAACCATAAAAGTTCTTCTCTTGTTACTGAGTATTATCACACAAAACTGTGATCAGGCTGTTCAGATAATTCTCGACATCAAAACGGCCCCCAAATAAAGGTACAAGGATATTTTCAGCTACTCGCACACAATCCACAAAAACGGCCCCCAAGAGCCAATGTCAGAATAAGGGACCCTGTAGATGGCTTGGAGGATTGCTGACCTCATTTCCCTTTTTAGGATCGATAGCCGATGTCTGGTATCAGGGCCGACAAAGAGGGTGTGCTGCTCCGTGCTAGGCGCCAGCCTTATTTCAACCCTGAATTCGTTTTCATGACGGATGGGGGCGGAATTTCCATCCTTTGGGTTTAGATTAGATAGCCTGAGTGTTGACAACGCATCCTTTGAGGACACGGATCTTACAATTGTTGCAGAAGGATTGCAAGCGCGCGTCTTGTATAAGGAACGGGCTGTCCAATCTGTTATAAACTGAATGGGTTGGTAGCGTGTAGGAAGTTATGGTGGTGCAGTGTCACCCTCTCTCGGGTATGGTGGGATCCAGCTGACAGTCAGATGCTTATTTCCATTTATATCCATTGTCACATGCATCAGACAAGGACAGTTTCTTCTAACAATGAAGTTCGAGGCGCCTTTCCTGTGAGGTAACTTGGCTTTTGCTCTACCTCTTGCCTACGCACAAAACACTTGGCGATACCAAGGTATGAGTTGAGTTGTGAGTTGATGTGGGGCACATGCGCGAAGTCTCGACTGGTCTTGCGTTTCGCAATTAGCCTTGTCAGATTTCCGACGGTACCCTTACCACTGTATGTACGTAAAGGGTAATGGAGAAGACACTCCGCTGAATCCGTATATTTGGTCAGATGCAGACAAAGTGTGGCGTAAAGCACAGTCTTTATATCACCCCCTCAGCCTCTTCAGCTGAAGTCCCAGTCACATTTAGCCCATGCCAAGCTTCCTCCATCGATGTCAACGAATCCTGCTGTTTATTTTCCCAGATGCCCGCCCATGTGGCCCGAAAGATGGATCACGAATGGTAGTATTGCTGCAAAGTCAATTGTCTGCGATGAGTTCGATTGAGCATTATACTTGTCGGCCGATTGTTTGTACCTAGCATTGATCCTGTCTCGATCAGTCCACGCAGCCTGCGATATGAACTCATGAGGACCAAGACTGTACTTGAAATTGCAAGAATTAGATATTCTCCATGACAGTTTTGCAACACAGACAGATACAAAAGGATGAAGCCAGTCTCAGCCAAGGGCAATATGTATCTCAAAGATCACGTTGATATCACGAAAAGGTGCAGCAGACAGGTCTTCGACTCTAATCAAAGATTTTATTACAAGTTACTATTTTAATGATATACTTGGAATGACAGAGCAATGTCACCCGTTTACGCAACAGGTCCGAAGAAGCTAAACTTGCCCTCAGGATCATACTTGCTCTTCAGTGCTTGCAGACGCTTCTGTCTCCAAATCTCACTGCCATACCAATCGCTAGGCTTCTCATTGCCGTAAGCATAGTTGACGTAGACACTCATGTTCCACTGGCCAGAAGCTCGGTGGAGGATGTGGCGCAAGTCGTTACCAATCTTAGCTGCCTTCTTATCAAGCGCAGCATCACCAGGCTTGTAGGTAATCAAAGGTGCAGTAAGGATGTTCTCGTGACGGAAGGCGAAAGCAGAGTCCTTGGCGTTGGTGCCGCGGACGGCTTGGGTGGAGTATCCTTCGAACATAAAGATGGAAGTGTTGAAGGGAGACTTGGGACCTGTCTCGGCAGCGAAGAGCTTCCATGCGTTCTTCATGGCTGTGACGTTGTACTCTTGGAGGTAAAGAGGGAAGCGAGGGTTGACGAGGCCGTTCTTCTGGCATGGGACGGCATCAATGTCGATTTGAGTCCATCGGGCCAGGTCACGGTAGTCTCCGGACTCGGGAGTGATGGCGATGGGCTTGAGGTCGTGGAAAGGCTTGGAGATCTTGGGGTCAATGGTCTTGACACCCTCTTGAATCAGCCAGAAAAGAATGATAGGCTGTGAATGTCAGAAATTGTTATATAAGAACCTGAAGAGAGACTCACGTTTTCAGGGTCAGCAGTAGGATCATGGACCCAGTAACTCCAGTTGATAACACCCTCAGGCTGCTTGCGCAACAGGTGCTCATTCGCAGCATGGTAAAGCTTCTCAACGTCCTTGCCACTAAAGACAAGAGTTTCAATAGCCCAATCGCGATGCTGAATTTCATAGACCTTTGAAGTGATAGAAGTCACAATACCAAAGTTATGTCCAGCACCCTTGAGACCCCACCAAAGATCAGAGCTCTTATCGATGGTCTTGAAGGAGCCGTCGGCAAGGACGATGTTCATCGAGACCCACTGATCTGCAATGATACCGTGATGGCCTTGGAGCCAACCGTGTCCGCCTCCGAGACCAGGACCCATATAGCTAACGCACTCACATGTTCCGGTCACTGGGAATGGTTAGTACCATAATCAAACTTAAAAATAAAGAAAACATACCGGTTTGCTTGTCGGCGGCCCAAAGAGTGTCTGTGACCTTCTTGGACATGGTTCCGCCGCCAATTGTAACGGTCTTGCCGTCTGCAGCGACTTCGACAGTGTTCAATTGGTTGAGGTAAATCTCTATGCCATGGTCCATTCGGCCAAGAGTGGTGATGGCTCCATGAGCTGTGTTGTAGGCGAGGAAAGGCAAGTCCTTTGAGTTGGCGTACTTGACCTACAGAACTGATTAGATATGATCATAAAATTTCAGAGATGAAACACCTACCGTCTTGGCAACATCTTGCTCGGTACCGGGAACAACGACAATGTTGACCTTGGGCGCGGCCAAAACAGACCAACGAGTAGTAGCCTTCTCAAACTCAGGTGAGCCAGGACAGTAAATCTTGGCCGCCTTTGACAGCTTCTTGCCAAGCTGACCAAGGTCCTCAGAACATGAACCAGCAGCATCACTACGAGCAAACGGAGTGGCTGCACATGTAGCCGTAGCAGCCCATGCCGTCACGGTCGCAAGAAACTTCATAGTGAAATGCATAATGAACACGCAAAAGACAAGAAAAACCTCGACCCTAAGCTGAAAAAGACCCAGGATCTGCGGGTCAGGACAGGAGGTGTTATATAACCTACATCGCCCTGGCGGTCTCACTAATAATCCATGCAATGCATCTACTAACTTGGGTAATGCGGCCGAGGGTGAAGACTGCCGAGAGACTGGGCGATACCTGAATATCCTTGCCGTTTTGTCATTCATGTTGCTTCCTTCGCACCGATTAGCTCCTCCACTGTCCTGCAGAGGAACGGGGATAAACCAGAGATTTCGCCCAGACTTTCATGTCTAGGGGATCCAGGGGATTCACGCTTAGTGGTTGCGGACCGGGCTCCCGGTGCGGGAAATCCTCTAGACAAAACCGTTGTGGAGCTAATTCGGGCATTTTTACCTTCCTAGCTTTGCCTAGCATGGATCCAAAGGATTTTATGGTCAAGAGCGAAGGAAGATGGCAAAGAAGCCGCTTGGTTCAAGAGCGAAATGTCAGGTGGCGCTTTGATGTGAATTCGCCGAATTGAGGTTCAATCTGATTGGGAATATCGCGAAATTTATCTAGGCGAACATCTTACAGGATCAATTGATCTCGGATGATTGACGCGATTGAGATTGAGGGCTACCGAGGCATCCGAGTTACCGAGCTATGGGTCTGCCAGCACATGTTGAAAAGCTTGTAGAATGTGTAACGTGTTACTGAGAGTGGAATTTCTCTGTCAAGTTCATTCCCATGCGCTTTGATGTACCTAAAAATTAGGTAAATAATGCTTGGACTTGGCTACAAAATAAGGTGGTGTTAGCAATGTCACCTTCCACATTGCGACTATTGCCGTGCTTGGGAGAAAATAACCGAGCCATGCAAAATGCGACTCTTACTCAACCGTCAGGGTGTCAGAAGGATTGGCCTCCAGGAGCATAAGAGACGAGATATTCCAGCTATCTTAGACTAGGTTAGAATACCACGGAGGTCACTTGGTTTTGGCGGCCTCAGAGGATAATGCTTCTATTATCCACATCCCAACGTGTCCATGACCATGAAAATTATGGACAATGCTATTGCGTACGTGTCTTCGTAAAGGCCATATCAAATCACATTTTTACAATGCGGATCTTGGCGCGTCATTTTCTTGGTTCAGCTAGTACTAGCTCTGCACTTACGTAGTAGCGTCAGGCACGTCAACCTGTAAAATTCATCCCAGCTAATCCCCGACGATAGCATCTGTACCGTACGCCTACCGGATGCGCGTCCGCTAATCTAATCTCAGGGGTGCATATGCAAATCCTTCGTGTTATGAAGTACTGTGCAGTAGAGTTCAGCTCGTGTTTTGCATGTGGACACACGGCATGACGATCGATCCTGCCAAGTTGTCACCTACATATGGACCGACATGTCCGGCATGTGTCTGCGCCGCCGATCTTTGCATATTCTCTCGTTTCTTCTTTTGCTTTTTCTTTCCTTCTTTTGGTTCTGATAAGCGAGGATGTCTGATGCCGTGACTGAGAGCTGGACGTTGTATGGGGTTGGTGTTGCTGCGACGTTTTTGAGATTCTATGCTCGAATGAGAGTGGATGGCTTTAGAAGTCTTCAGGCAGAGGATTATCTAATGGCTATAAGCATTGTCAGTCATCTTGGACCTTCCGAGCTTGTGGTTATACTAACTTCAGCAGATCTTTTATACGGTTCAGACGACGCTTGCATACAATATTGGGATACTCGCCCATGGGCTTGCCAACAATGGAATGACGGACGCAGAGCGGGCTGCATTGTCCCCTAGCGATCCAGAATACAATTTCAGGTAAGCTTTCTACATATATATTTTCTACCTTGTATGCTAACCTTGTTAGGGTGGTCGGCTCTAAGATTCAGGTTGCTGGTTGGACCATTTACTCCGCCCTCATTTGGTCATTGAAGCTATCCATGCTTTACTTTTACACTCGCCTCACTGTAAGATCGTCAGTCAATTCTTTAATAGTTCATCACTGACAATTTTAGAATGGACTCGGACGGCCGTATCGCATTCGGATATACATCGGATTCGGCCTGGTAATCGGCACCTTTGTCGCAACCATAATAGCAGTCTTCGCTGGTTGCCAACCTTTCAGTAAATACTGGCAGATAAGTCCTGACCCAGGCAGTACGTATCCTTATTGGTCTTTCATCGAATAAGATCTAACATTTTTATCAGATTCTTGTCAAGCAGCCATCTCGAAACCCATCGTCTGGGCCTCATTCGCCTCCAACGTCTCCACCGACATATACCTTATCGCCATTCCCCTTCCGATGCTTTGGGGATCTAGTCTAAAAACCATAAAGAAAATCGCTTCAAGCATTGTTCTTGGCTCTGGTATCTTTGTTCTTGTTTGCGCTACGTTGAAAAGCGTCTTTGTTCTAGTGGTACGTCTCAACAATGGATTTCTACCACCACTCTTTGTCTAATAACGCATTTAGGATCCCGTCAATGGAGCTCAGCTAGCTGGTACATGGGGCACACGCGAAGCTTTTGTTGCCGTGATGACTACCAACCTACCAATTCTCTTCCCGCTCTTCAGAGTCTGGCTTACCCCAGTTTTTGGGAGTATACTACGTTCATCGGACAAGGCGTCTTACCAGTATCCCTCTCACTTTCAGACGATCGGTGGTGGAGGAGGTCGAAGTGGCAAAAGCCAGAATCCAAGTCGACGTGGCCCCCCGACCGCGAATCCGATATCAGGAAACATGTCTTTCAACGGCAGTGAGGAGCGTATTGTCAGGGCAGAGGCGCATGGTATGACAAACCTGGATCCAGAGGGTCATAGGAATAATCAAAAGGGTATTGTGGTATCCAATGTCGTGGAGATCGTTCACGAGGATAAGAAGGGTGGTGGAAGTAGAGATGGGCGCAACTCAGAAAGTTCATGGTAGACTATTGGCGTCACTGTTCTTTGGCATATAAACTAGACAAACTTGCATATAGTCTATAATGTGTTCTCATAACATGCGCGTGTCCATGATTTGGCGTTATGAGTTGTATATGGCCAGCTTAAGGTTCCTAAGAGATGGAATAATTTGGTCACTTTGTGGCTGATTAGACTAGCACTTAGGTTATTTTATCCTAAGCCTTAGGACATTTCTTCAGTCACTGATCTAACCGTGACAGTTCAAGCTCGTGTTCAGTCGTACATTAGATCGATCACCTACACGCGTGGTGTTAGGACAACTAAAGAACCCGCATGCGTTCTCAAACCGTTACTCGAAGTCGCACACCAAAGTCAGGGGTACAAGAAAGGAACCTCAAGCTCATCAAATCATGGCATAATCATTAAAACTTTTTGGGCTTCAGCCCAGGTCTATCTGAGGTGTGCCTTTCTGGATGGGACATCCATCCGCTCACCCAATCCGTAAATAGTCATATTCATCAAATCCGCGCTTCGCTGTAAACTTTTCCGTTGAATTAGGTTCAACAGTCGCCAACACCCTAATCATTCGGGTAAGAGACGAAATAGTATCCTAAGCTTTAGGAGACAAATCCTAAGCCTTAGGAAATATCTTGACCAATTTAGCTGACGTACTTAGGGATAGTCTCCATGACACCGTCCTTAGTAATCAGCTCCATGGCCTTGGTGACCTCGTCGAGGAAGCGCTGGTCACCTCGCAAATCGTCACCAAACAGCTCTCGCACGGACAAAATAGAGCGGGGGTCGGGGCCGCCTTCCTTGGCAAGAGCCTGAAGCTTCTCCTTCATAGGGTCGTCGACCTCAAACTTGTTGCCCTTATCATCGACACCCTTGATGTAGATGAACCAGCCGGCGGCGACGAAACACAGGCGGCGGAAGGGGCCAGTAACCCAGATGTTCTCGGCAATGGAGGGCATGATGAACTGGGGGATCTTGCCGGAGGCGTTGAGGGCAACGCGAGGAATCTGATCCATGATAGTGGGGTTGGAGAAACGCTCCATCAGGGTGTTGCAGTACTGGTCAATGTCGACGCCGGGGATCTCAGGGAGAAGGGGCTTGACCTCCTCCTGCATCATCTGCCAGACAAATTTGCGGTAGATGGGATGCTCCATGACCTCGTGGACGTACTTGAAACCAGCCAGCTGACCGGGGTAAGCCATAGCGGAGTGGGAGGCGTTGAGGAGACGAAGCTTGTGCTTCTCGAATTGCTCAACGTCGTGAACGTCATGGACAACCTGCACACCGACCTTCTCGAAGGGAGGGCGGCCGTCACAGAACTTGTCCTCAACGACCCACTGCATGAAGGGCTCGGTCACAACGGGCCAAGAGTCCTCGATACCGAAGTTCTCGGCAAGCGACTTGATGTCGTTCTCAGAGGTGCTGGGGGTAATGCGGTCAACCATCGCGTTGGGGAAAGCACCCTCCTCAGCGATCCACTTGGCAAGCTCAGGGTTCTTGAGCTTGGCGAAAGACTCGAGCATGTTACGGGTGATGGAACCGTTCTTCTGCATGTTGTCGCAGGACAGAACGGTGAAGGGCTTGAGACCCTGCTGGTGACGGCGGGCAAGAGCGGCGTAGAGGAAGCCGAATGTGCTGATGGGCGCGTTCTCGTTCTCCTGCTTGAGATCGTGCTGGATGTCAGGGTGATCGCTCACCAATTGATGGGTGTTCTCGTTGTAGTAGTAGCCACTCTCAGTAATAGTAAGAGAGACGATGTGTGTGTCGGGATGAGCCATCTTGGCGATAACAGCCTCACGGTCATCGGGAGCGAAAATGAAGGAGTTGATGCTGCCGACGACGTCGGCGAAGCTGCCCTTTGCAGAGCGCTCAATCACAGTGTAGAGGTGGTCTTGTGCGTTGAGGACATCGCGCATGGCGGCATCATTGGGTCGCAGGCCGATACCGCAGATGGCCCAATCGGTCTCACCGTGCTTCTCGAGCAGCTTGTCAACGTACACAGCCAAATGGGCTCTGTGGAAACCGCCGACTCCGACGTGAACGATGCCCTCCTTGAGCGCCTTGCGGTCGTAGGTAGGGACCTGAACCTTCTGGTCTCCTTGCTGTGACGCAATGGTGGAGAGGTTGTTGCTGCTGAGCTTTAGGCGCTGTGTCATTTTTGCTGAGGTTTAGAGTATTTTAGGGTATTATAGTGGAAAGGGGTATCGGAGATGAGATGAGATGAGAGAGTAGATTTGGGAACGATAGAGAGGAAGAAAGTCGCTTTTGATGTTGAGATGAATGAAGAAGAGATGATTGAGTTGAGGTCGAATCGTTGAAGAAAAGGAGGAATTAAGTTGTTGAAGAATGAGGTCACCGCTGGATTGCAGGTGCTGACCGCCCGGGTTATCAATGAATCCAGTGAGAGACCTTGAGGCTGCAAGAGCGGGGGCATCTCTCGGCCACAGAGATTTCGAAGGTTCCCCCGTGTTCGGTGGACTCCCGCTCTTGCCTGCCTTCCTTTCTTTGTTTCGCCCTGCCACTGATCTGACACTGCAATTGTTCCCCTTCTCTCCTTGCTCACCTTCGCGTTGTGGCTAAAAACTTGGTGGGGCTTCGGCTTTGTTTCTCCAGTGAATGAAGCCCGACCCACAGGGCGTCAGAAGAATCTACCGTCATAAGCACAAGAGATGAAATAGTTTGGTCACTTTATGGCTGCTTAGATCAGGACCCTAGGCTACTTTATTTTGGTAGCCTAAGCCTTAGAGTACATCTCATCTGTTACCCACCCCGCCGGCTTTTGGTGAGAAGAGCGAAGTTATGGGGCTGGTGACGTGAAAGAGACCCATAGTTTAGCTTTATCGGCTTATCACAGCACAGCTTGAATCAGCATCAATCAATCATTCTTGCTGCCTGTCATTCAATTGAGGGGACCCTGACCCTCTCTTTACGGTGGCGAATGATGCAAAGATTTTCATTGATCTTTTCAATTGTTTCCTTGAAAATCTGAATCTGCGCTTTGCTCTGCTGCAGAATTTGACCAGCCATGATGATACATCGTCATAAAAAATGGGATCTCAATTCTGCCATGTCGCATCGTCATAGCTGTTATCAATTGAAGGTCCTCTTATCGCAGAAATCATAGCTTCAAAGCTACAGTGGATACCTTCCCCTCCCTCCTCCAAAACAAGCTCGCGCACGTTCAAGACAACCTTGAGGGTATCGTGGGGGTTGGCTTGGAATTCTAGGGTCTACTGTCTCCGTTCCCCAGGGGAAAATTCCCAGATGTCCATGTGATCATTCATCCATGTCAGGGACAAAGTCAGCCTCATGCTTGCGGCTCTCAACGCGATAGGTCGGGTCTCATGACCACCCTCCCGCCGCGTTGAGCTGAGAATAAGCAGGGGTAAGCTGAGCTTCCCCGTCCCTAAACAGCGGTCAACTGTCGGGTACCACTGTAGGCAGCAGCATAAAAATTCGTAGCGCTCCAAAAATACAACCTTCAATTGAGACAATCGACTTTTAGCGCAGGTGTAACAAAAAGTTAATTTCCTTTTTACAAATATCAACAAATTTGTCAGCTTCTTAATAAATTTGTTGAATTGCGACGGAGACTTTGCCGACAGTGCTGTGCCATCCGAAAGTCGGAGCAGTCGAGACTGGTGTGACCTGCGGGATTGCGTGTCCTTGCCTGCAAACAATTTGAGACGTCAGATCATCCGGACTTCAAATCTGGCAACGCAACTTGGCCAGAAGTAAAAAGCAAAGTTGCGGTGTCAAAAAGTCTCACAGGATCAATAACGTTGAAGTCACATGGTGTGGACATTCAATTGAACCCTTCGACTGAGCATCAATGTCGGTCCTCTGAGTGACGTGGTATCATGGCCTCCAACGGACAGCTACACTCACTGGGGTGGCTCATCGCAGTCTCTGGTGTTGCTATTCCTAAGCACGATTGATGGATCACCTGCCATAAGTTCGATGGACTGATTGCTCACATGTATACAGTCCGAATCAGTTCCTCCAGAGAGCTTCAGCAGTTATGCTCTCCCTGATCCGTTGGACTGTTATAACAGGCCAAAGCCTGGAGACAAGCTCGAATTGAGTTTTGGTAAGAAGCTCAAAGACGCACCTGATCGAAGCACGAACGTCTTGGTGCTTTATAAGACCGATTGGCTGTCGGGCATGGAGGTTATCTCGTACCAGAGGTCATCTTGTAACGCCTACAGCAAAGTTTGACTCCTTATTGCCAAGTGATTCATTTGATTCTCTGAGGTATGTCTGGGAGTCTCATACGACATCCTCTATGCGGATGAAACACCAAAGGCGTCGGACCTTGTGTAGTTCAAAGTTCAGGTTTGGTCAAACGTGTGGTTGTGTTGAGTACGGATAGCGGGTAGATGTGTCACCATTAAGCCCTCAATAAGAACACCAAAGGCGATACTTTTGAATCCAGTCGCTGCTGGTTGTGTCAAGTGAAGTCGATCGATTGCATCTGATTGACTACCACGGAAATGACACTACTATGAGCGAGTAGACATCGGGATGTCTTCCCCGGAATCCACTCCCGACGATCGTCTCGGCAATCTTCGTCCAGATCTCCATCAGGGGTGGAAATCCTCCGTTCTCCTGCATAGAGTACAGAACAATCTCCAGCCTCACAAGCCATGGTGCGCGGGCGTATGAGGAACTTGAAGTTAGTATCCTCGCATGTGTTGGCCTTTGTCTATTTTGCGTGAGGCGCGGATTCGAAGTCAGGCCACGATCTGCGTGTATGGCCCAGCAGATATGCAGTATCAGAATAGTAAGTGTGTTTACTTTCGCCACTCCCCAAGTTAACCTAGAGCATCCGTTACTTGGCCCGTGTTGACTTTCCTGTCAAGAGAAGTAGGCTGCTCATGTAGTTAGATACAGCCAATGGTTTTAGGCAATATCTCTGGGTTCTCCTTAGGGTATCAGATGAATGAGATCCTAAAAGGCGAAATGCTTTAGTCACTTTATGCCGGCTTAGACTAGCATTTAGATGACTTTATTATTGTAGCTTAAGATTGGGAAGATGAACCGTCTGTCATGCATCTGGTTCTCTAGGTCATCGGATCGCGTGTGTATGTATTCCTATGGTCGACTGAACACCAGCTTGAACTGTCACGGTCTAGACCTCTGCAATGTTTGTTTCTGTTATCATACTGATAGTACACACATTTTGGCCACAAAGCGCCGGTGTGTATTCTTGTAGTTGTAACGCGTCGGAACGAGACAGATTCGAACGACTTGTTTTCTTGTACATACGTAACCATCTTGTGCGTAAGAAGGACGTGCTGTCATCAAACCAATAGGACCAGTTCTTTTGGCAGCAATCGGGATTTTTAGAAGAACAGCTCAATCACCCACAACATGCTCCAGCCTTTCGCCAAGCTCAAACCCCCTAAGCTTAGACATGCAGAAGAACGGCTCAATCACTCCCAACATGCTCGAATCTTTCGCCAAGCTCAAGAACCCTAAGCTTGTCGAGTAGACCGCCAAAGACAGGGCTCTGACTTATGATAGGTCTTCAAAGCATGTGCAGAGCCTCCAGAATGAATAACAGCATTCTGATTTCTTTAGTTTTCTGGTACTTGTACGCAGGTTTGACGGAGCTGTTTCTGTCACCAAGGATGGACTTCACCTTGATTGTACTAGACGCATAGGACGATTCCTTTGACAGCAGTCGATTAAGTCATGGGATCAAATATCAGTAATACTCTGCCTCAGCATGTTACAGGAAGATCACCTACCCGTACAATAAGAAAATCAAAGTCTTGTTTGTGTGTTGTTTCTCGGAACATTGCATGCTAAGTCCTGTGACTTGCACAAAATGAATGTAACACTTCACTGGGCACAGTGCTGGCAGGTGGGTAGTAGAGGGAAAGCTTAGATTACTGAAATAATAAAGTGACCTAAGTCCTAGTCTAAGCTGATATAAAGTTACCAAATTATTTCGTCTCTTATGATCTTGGGGGTCATTTCTTCTTATACCCTAAGGACTGAATCCTGACATTTACGATGAGCATTCCAGGGTGGTAGTCACTTCCTACGCAGGCCAAGGCTGTCTCATAGGATGCTGTACGAACAGGCTCAAGGATTGATGAAAGAAAGGAAGGTCATGTCAACATGCTACCGAGGCTCGGATACCCTGGATCGGATGAAGATGCACCGGTCGGAGTTACGTCACCACGAGGCGGAAAGCATCGGGCCCGTACAAGGATATCCTGGCTTCCACGTACAACTTCGAATGAATGCTCATGAAGGAAATTTAAGTTACTTGGGTCTGGTTTCATCATTCAAATCACTCAATTGTTATGCAGTCACTCAAAAGCACAGTAATTAACTGAAATGCAGAGTCTTGTCATTGCGTGAAATCAAATGTATGTACATGCAACATCAACATAGAACCAAATATGCCTTGCCAACAAATAGCGGCGGATGTTTTATTGAAAACGAAGCGAAGGTGGGTGAGTCGGGAGTTCATAAGACCCGTATCAAAAAGACGCTCTCATAACTGAAATGAGCCTTGGAAAAAAGAAGAGAAAGATACATATCCAATGAATCGTTAACCCAGAAAAAGTAAAAAAGAACAAGAAAATTGCATCCACATATCAAGAGAGTTTAGTTGTTAAACTCTTTAGTAAGGCTTTTCACCGATCCTGTAGAAAGTGGAGATTAGCGAATGTTACGTTGGTGGTGAGTGTGAGTGGGAAAGACTTACATGTTACCGGGCGTTTGGTAACGGGCGACGACGTAGGAAGCACCATCAGCGCTCTTGGCGACAGCCATGCCGACCTTGGTGGTGGACTTCCAGATGCACTGGGTATAGTGACCGAAGCCCATGTAGTTGGAGCCAGAGATGGTCTCACCGTTGTACTGGCTCTTCTCGCTGACGAAGGCCTCGACGGCGTCGGCGAAGGGGGTGGAGGAGGTACCCATGTAAAGGTTCTCACCATCCTCACCCTGGGAGTGAGTAAGGCTGCCCTGAGCGGCGATCTTGTCGGCCCACTCCTGGGCACCAGCGACGAGAGAGTCGTCCCACTCGAGGGGAGGGTTGCCGACTTCCTTGCGGGCCTCGTTGTGAAGATCGACGGCTTTCTGCTGGTCGGAGGTCAAAGAACCGGAGCTGCCACCGGAGCCGGAGGCGGGCTCCTTGGGCTCGAGCTCGGGCTCCTCCTCCTTGACGGGAGTCTCCTCGATGGGGGCGGGGACGTAGGTCTGCTTAGGCTTCTTCTCCCATCGGACCTTTGTGGGCTTGACCTCAACGGGGGCGGGGCGCTCCCAGTTGAAGGTAGGTCGGGCCTGCTCGTGGCCGGCGGTAACGACCTGGGTAACGTACTCGTACTGGGTGACGACCTTGTAGTGAGGAGCGGCCATGGCACCAGCGGCCATGATGGAGGCGATGAAGGTAGAGTAATGCATTTTGATGGTTTGCTTGTTGTAGTTTGAGACTCTTGCTTATTTTCTTTTGGCTAACGTCACCAGGACTGTTGGGCAGTAAAGTAAGATTTTGAGTTGTTGATGGTAAAGACCGTTTTGGAAGGACTGGAATGAATGTATAGAATCCTTCAAGGATAATGAGTGTGAACCTGTTGAGGAAGGAGTGTGGGTTTTCTGTCTGAAGAGAGAGAGATAAAGGGAATCAGAAATGAGAGGGGGACGGAATGAAGGTTATATTATAGTTGTACGACATTCAGAGTGCAGTGCCGATCCCATTGGACAATGGGGGTGTTAGGTCAATCCCGACTGGTTCACAGAGGTCTCATCCCATGAGCAGTGTGGAAATTCGATGCTCGTACGCCTTAAGCCCAGCCCGAGTCCCTGGCCCGCCAACATTGAAAGAATAGCGGGTCTTGGTGTGTTTCAAAGAGTTGGGACCGGCCGATGGGCTGCCATTACCCCTGGATCAAAGGGCATGGGCATGGGGGGCTGGGCTAAGAGACTAAGACTAGACCAGGGGTAAAGGCTTGGTTGCATGTTCTCTTGTGCTGCGTGCAAAAAAAAAAGCCGTTGATGGGCCTCAGCGTCCCGATCCAATGAGAAATAACTTGCACAACATCAAATAAAATATGACACCCGAGTCTCCGGATGACGAGTGTGGGGATTTGGGATTTGGGATGCCACACTGAAACCCCTCTTTTTGATCCTGCAATGTTAAGCAGTAAAAAGAAAAAAGAACGCAGTCGAGAAAACGGTCTGGTTTGTTTCGTAACGACGTGGTAATGCAGCCGTCAAAGAACGAGAGACGAGATGACATACTTAGTTCCTGACTAAAAAACCAACGGCGCTGTTTTTGTTGGCGCCACTAAAAAGCCAAGCTAAGCTAGACGAGAGTCGAGAGGGGAAGCGGCAAAAGAGGGAGCACAAAGCGCGGAGGCACTGCTGAGTGCTGAGTGCATCAGCCATTCTGAGACCCCATCACATCATCTTGTCGTCCAATGTTGCGGCGCATCTCACTCTGCATGCCACGCACAGACTTTCCGTCCTATACTGTACTCGTACGCTGAAGCGACAAGGTACAGGTATCGATCCCCCGGCTTTTCAAATCACGGCTCCAATATCGCTTAACGTTACAAGTCCATAATATCCCGAGAAAAACGCAAGGATCAATCGACAAGCCTTATTACACTCTGCCAAGGTCGAATTTCCCCAACCTGGAGATTTCATCCCATTTATTGATGCAAAACCACAACATCCCTTGACTCTCTCCTCTCGTCTCCCTAGAAAGGGGGTTGTTTGACACGGAAAATAGAGTAAAAAACTTTGCTAGTGACCATTCTTGACTCGTTTGTTCCGTTCCGCTTGTAACAAACTACTGCAAGGGACGAGTGCGCCTCTGATTGGTTAAAAAGGGCCATTCGCTGCGCCAAGTTTGCAGTGTGCCAGCTGTCAGGCGTCGAGAATGTCATCGAAATGGGGGCAAAAAACAACCAAGAAAAAAAGGGGGACCAGAGAAACCACCCGCGTGGTGCGCAGTGGGTTTGGCTTGAGGTTATCGACAGTCATGAAACAAGCCATCGTGTTTTGAATCCTTTCTTCTTTGTCGGAAGCAGCGGATGAAAGAATACAGAACAGAACAGAACGGTACAGTGTTCGTACACTACAGATTTTAGTAGGGTCTTCTTTGGTCGAAACAGCGCCACGGCGCTTCCTCCTTTGTGAGTAAGCCCAATCAATTCCATTTTCTTTGCGCCTTTGTTTCTTTCTATTTCTGCAGGTTTTTTCTTGTTTGCGGTGAAGGTAATGGTGTCTCTTGCTTAATCATAATGCTACTGAGTCTTTTCTAGCCAAGGTCTCGAAAGTTGGTCTGGTTACAGTTGGATCGGCGTTTACAATCGAGAGCGATTTCTTCTGCCGGTTCCTGATGATCGGGGGAAGATCCGCTTGCAGTGCCGAGGGCGGTTTGAGTTGTCAACCTGCACATTTTCCTTCTAGACGAAGATCCCTCCCTCCTCCCCGGTCTCTTTTTTGCCAGGGCTCCCTGGTCCAGCCTTTTCGCATCACGTTTTCATTGATTGCGATTCGTCTCAAGATTAGATTAAGTCATTTCAGAGCCTTGTTTGTAGGAAATAAATGAGCCCTGCCATGAAGTTTGAGAACATCCCCGGTTCCGGTTCTTCCAGGATCTCAATCTGATTCTTCCTTCCTGGCAGTAATACAATACAGTACAGTATAGTACAGTAATGCAATGTCGCCTTGTTTCGTAGTACAACCCGCCCAGGGACTTCTTGGAAGCGGGGAACACCAAGACGATGGCCGCGCGTAACAAGACCCTGTCCGATGAAACGATGCAACGATGCAACGAATCAATGAAAACTGACATGATGGTATCTACAGTATTGAACCTGCACGCACGGTACAACTGTCAAAAAGAATCACATGGTCATAACACAAAGATGTCAAGATTTTTGAAGTGCGTCTGAGCTTTCTGGTGCGAACCATGGACCATGTCACCAAAGCCCAGGTTCAATTTACTGCACACATAACGACGTGGACCTGCATGGCTTCTCTGAAACAGCCACTTCCGCTGCCTTCCTAACGTGGCGCTGGCTTCCGACTTTATGACTGTCAGATTGATTACCGATTGCTTTTTACCTTCCTGTAGGAGCGCACTCATCAAAATTGTAAACAATGCAGAGAGAGAAAACAAAGTTGTCGTATTATTATTACTAATTGCTCGTTACGAGATTAGGCGATGCGCTTGGTTGATCTTCTGATCGCGGTGTAGATCATCTAGTCAGCCACAGCGTTGTCATGCTGACTCAAAGGAAATGAGATACTCGTATTTTTTTGTGTTGAGGTTGATGGACTGTCTGAGGCCTCAAATTAATATTGACGCCATTTTTTGACTTTGTAGTGTTGTAGGGTAAGATAATCTCGATGTGAGAAAGGTGACAGTACATGCTTAATATGAGTAAATATCAATTGGTGGTACTTTATGTGATGTCAGTCAATTGAATGAATTAGATGGACTCCATTTTGCTCTTCTTAAAGTGTAGCTGTCAGTTCAGGGATTGCTTGGGTTGACATGCAGTGTTGGGGTTGCCAACGCATTTCAATTTTGTGGAATTCGGAAGCTCAGGTTCGCATATTCATCAGGACGCCGCAGTTACTTAACTAACAGATAAGATCGCTATCGGTGTTGAAGTCCACTTATCTGTTAGCTCGATATCGTTGCGCTTATCGATAACCTTCATCTGCTGCTAACCCAGCGGAATGCGGATCACCTCCAGCGCCTCATTCGCCAACACCTAGCTGTATTGAAACCTCTTGCGTCACCATTACATTTATCGTACATCCGCCAACATCGACCTTGAGATTATCTCAATGACTGATGATTTATAATCTCGTATCGGCGCAAGTGGTGTAGCGACCCTTCATGAAATTGCATCCAAAGGTCATACAAAACCTGTCAATTCGGCGGTCGAGCAACGTTGTCTTGGCGATTCGCTGTCAAGCCATGATATACGGCTGTGCCATCATATTGTGTTGCATCCGGGGTCTTTTGTAATACCTACCAATCTGAATCAATTTGTGAAGGCTCAAGGTTAGGACCGTTTCACTCTAAATCGCTTTACGCCGACTTCCCACGCCCCGTCGGATCCGGGGTTGGAATGAGCCTTTAGAGCTTTTGTCGTAGACAGTGACATTCCTCTTTAACCCGGGATCAGTTACTCCGGATTCCACACAATTTATATAAGCGACGGCCCAGAGAAGTGTTGGAATGGCCAAGAGCACTGCCACTGAAGCCTGAGTCTCGCATGTGATTAAAGTTTTTGAAGTTGGGCGTGGCCTCGTTCAGCTGCCTCTCTTTGCGAATCAACTGATCCCGCATGCCTCTTTGTCAACTCGGAGTCTCGGACTTATGACCTCTATCGTGAGCCGAGAGAAGAAATGTCATGAATGAAGGGCAATAACAATTAAGTGTGGAAGTAGGAATTAAAGAACCTTGGCGATGCATATTAATTTCTCAACAAAAAACCACGGTCGGGTTATCATGATTAATCAGCGTTGACTATGATATTGCAAATGAAAGGGCAACGATGGTCAGATGTGGTTCCTGATCAGATTGATATTGAACGACAGAAAGATACCCCATTAGAATATACCTCTTGTGCCTCTACTACAGGCTGAGATCCGACATATGGCTCTACGGATACTCGAAGAAACATCATCCAAGAGTAATAGTGGGTAATTATTATGGAAAGTTGCTTATGAAGAATGTGCTATAAGCTGCTTAATAAGTGTCTGAAACGAGCTTGAACCTTCTTCATTGCCGACGTGCCCGGTGCTCCCGATCGGGATTCATCGTCGCTGCTCGACTTTAACTGAACTGAGCATTCACAACGAGTGAGAGAATTACGAGGGCTCATCTCATCTGAGAAATGATTTCTAGGCTCCCAACCATATACATCAACTCCAATTAGCAAGGCCATTATCACAGCTGCGTCATTTAGAAAGTGTTGCTGTACAGCGCACATTCACTGGGCCAATGAAGTGCCGGAAATGGTGATGACAAAGCTCTGAAAGTGAATGTAACACGTCAGACGAGATGCGATCCTCACATGCGTTACCATCAACTCCAAAGCATCTTCATCATCTCGCAACGTTGATCAATTAACCCAAATATAATATCCTGCTCACTACAATAATGTCTAATGCCGGAGTCACAAAATCTCAAAAGCCCAAGCGAAAGGGCCGACCGCGACCTTTGCCTCCGGACGTCACGGCGCGGAACTTGGCAATTGAGAAACAGCGTCGCGGAGAAATGAATGAGAACTTCCTAGTAAGTCATTGACAGTCGATATTTGAGATGTGACTAATGCGTGATTGCTGTAGGAACTAGCCCGCATGCTCCCTAATATCGCCTCCGCACGGCGACTCACAAAAGTGCTCATTGTGAACAAGAGCATTGAGCACGTGCGACAACAGCGAGAGCTGTGTCTGGCAGCAGATCGCGATATGCAGGATTTACTTGCTGAAAATCGTCGCTTGGTAGATCAGATTAATGCAATACGTATTCAGGTAAATGGGCCAGGGGTGATGCCCATGGAGGCAAAGCCTGTGACGGAAACGATGAAGCAATTGGCAGAGACAAAGAATCAAGTGTTTGGAACATTTGCAGCTGGATTCGGCGATAAATGGGTCGAGAAGGCCTCACAATCCCAGTCTCAGGCCCAGACTCAGACAGGTGCAGGTGTAGTACAAAGTATTCCGGCAAGCGATATTCATCCAGCGTCTGCTGAGCAGGCCAGCTTTACAACTTCATCAACGGGTCTTACGCCAGATATTGACCCTGTTGAACATCCGACGCTATCGAATCAAGATTCTGGATTGGCTTTGGACGCAGGATTCGGTCCAATAGATGGAATGTCGCTCCCTCAAGAAGCATATGTATCAGGCGACACGTTCCCGATAGAGCCATCATTGATACCGGATCCATATACAGAGGGTTTCCCAAACTTGGATCCAATTCCATGGATGACCGAAGTAGACGTGGATATGGCATTAGGAAGGTATCAGGGCGGATTTGAAAATCCAGGCATGCTGGATTGTACATAGTCAATTTGTTTGTGTTATACTGTCGAAGCTTACTATCGTAATCAGAACTGCTTCATAACTTCCTCAATGGCATCTCGGCTTTGGAGCTCGTTTTGCTTAAATGCTTCAAGCGCTTCGTAAAGTCCCTTCTTTGTCACAGGGTCAGCAGCGATGGCCTCCTCAAGCGCCGCACCGTTATTGGCGAGGAAATCTACTTCAGTTGACGGAAGGTTTCCATCCCAGTCCGACCCAGCGAGAGGGTCAGTCCTGGCCAAATGAGCGACGCGCTGTGAAGGTCTAATGCCTCCATTTAGAGACTCATTGCCTGGTGGTGGATTCTCTTCTGCATCGAGGAGGGATAGCTGCAGAATGATGTCTTCAGGGACAGTGACGTGGTCGCAGCCGAATTCTGCCATAGCCATGACCTCCTGTGGCGATATGAAGCTGGGACACAAGTTAGTTTGTAGTCACCTGGCATCGAATATACTAACCTCGCTGGCTTCAGAAGCGGCTGAACACGACCAGTTTCCTCTCGAAGCCGCTTGTATACCTGTTGAATCTGCACAATTCTTGGCGACATAGGATGTTCAAGAGCAGGGTCCTCAACATCAGGCCACTGTTTGCGATCGGCATGAAACCACGGGACTATGAGGTTAGTTAGCAGGTTCCTTAGGAAAGCAACCCGCTCTGTAATCAAGACTCACAATTATAGTAAGGACTGATAGAAAGCGTCCCCGCCTGGCTAGCCGCAATAGCCTGGACGACAGAGAAGAGAGAAGTACCCAAAGTCCGAATACCTTCCTTGAGAAGAATGGGACTTGCGTTGAGTGCAGGTCCAGTCGATGGAATCTTGATACAGATGCGGTCCTTGGAAATGCCAAGTTTCTCAAATTCGTGGGCGTAAGAGCGAGCTTGGGCTACGACCTTCTCGGTGTCGTAGGCGTGGTTGGCTGAGACTTGGAGAAGAACACGGCCTTGAAGGTTGTCGATGTTCTTGGCGCAGAGAAGGGCGCTCTGTACATGGGGAGGGATAGTGAGTAAGCTGTCAGTCGACTTGGTATATGACACGTACCATTCGGTTGAGGATGACCTCCCATCCTTCGTCTTTGCCTTTCTTGACTGTCTTGAGGAAGAGTTCACGATTCTCAGGAGAGATCATCTGCTCGTAGACCAAACGCTGGTTGCTTGTCTGATCATGCGGCTTGAATGGAAGAAAGCGCCTTGCTTCTGCTGGGTCCATGCAGTCAATATCGATTTTGACTATCACTCTTGTTAGCATGCGCTGGATGAGAGTATCTGTCGAGGAAGGCATACCCTGCTCTTGAAGTCTGTCGAGCCAAGTAGTTCTAGCCATGGTAGCGGATGAGCTTATTAGACCAAAGTTGTGCAAGCAGTGAATGTTGAAATGAGAATGGGAGAGAGCAGCTCGTATCTTTATACACAAAAGACATTAAGGGAGCTTACTTCGGCTGATGGAGGGATAAGATGGTACGTACATGTAGTATGCGCTAATGCAAGGACTGTACAGTAACCGACAACCCACACGATCGTCGCGGATCAAGTTGCGAGTTGGAGTGCTACTGTACAGTACAGTCGTCGTATTTGCCAAGCGACGCAACTGTACAGTTTCATGTAGCTGTACAGTTGCAATGGACCGTCAGAGACGTGTGATCAATGATATGGGCAGGTGGCATAGAAGATTGCCTCTTTCTCACGGTTCACTTCGGATTTATATGGCACTTACGTAGACCTTCTCTATTTGAGTTTTCCGAAGGTCAGCTTTCACGTCATATAGTTCAAATCAACACAACGACGTAAATTTTAGGATGAGCAATGAGGACGATAAAAGTCAAATTAGAGCTACCATCGGGCATAAGCTTACAAAGCACTAATACCCCCATCAACGACTATGTCTGCTCCAGTGATGTAGCTACCGGCCTTACTAGCCAACAGTATAATAGCACCTGTGAGTTCCTCCGGCTTACCCATACGTCCAAAAGGCGTGCGCTTAGACCAAATCTCCCTATGTTCAGCCAATCCATCGCCTTCATTAAGAATAGTATCCATGTAACCAGGACTAATGCTATTTACCCGAATTCCATGCACAGCCCATTCCGCAGCAAGAGAACTCTTCATGGAAAGAACAGCTGCTTTAGCAGCGTTATAGTGAACTTGAGGTTGAGGAAAATTGACAATGTGACCAGAGATGCTCGCCATCAAAATGATTGAACCACCAGTTCCTCGATCTTTCATAGACTGTGCTACGGCTTGTGTAACGAGGAAAGCACCGGTTGTGTTGACGCCAAGCATGGTTTGGAATTGCTGAGGGGTAATGTCAAATGCGCGCGATGCGAATGCGATGCCCGCGAAGCAGAGACAAATATTGACCGGCCCGATAGCTTCCTCAGCATTCTTCACGGACTCAGTGACGGATTTGGGGTCCGTCACATCGACAACGAAGAACTTGATCTTGGCTTCAGGAAACTCGTTTTGGAGCCTGGACGCGGTCGTTTCGCCTGCATCAAGGTGCAGGTCAAAGATGGCTAGACCTTGAAGGCCATGCTCGAGCAATGCTCTGCAAGCTACTGAGCCAATGTCTCCGGCGCCACCAGTAATGATGGCATTGCCCGTGATGGCGAAGCGAGCTGCGGCTCTTTCAATGGGCGTGTCGCTTGTGCTGGAAGGCCCTGGAGGTGCGGTTTTGGAGTTGGCTGAACCGTCGCTGAATCGCATTGACGGCGGGGCACGGAATCGAAGTTCAGAGCGTGCGACAGACATCCTGGTAGTAGGTATATAGACAAGTAAGTAAAGGTATCGAGAAAAGTGTTGGCGAAAATCTAGAATGCTTTCTAGTTGTGGATGAAGAGACGGTCATTATATATCCAGCTCCTCATGAATTGCAAGCAAGCAAACCCGTGACTTCATCCATCTATTTTCCGCCACGCTTCGTTTCGTCGTAAGTTACAAGTGTTACTGTACAGTAACCTCGATGATCCCAGGGGTGGTCTGGAGTCACTAGCCAATCAATTCGTGCAGTTACTGTACAGTACATGCATTAGTGCTCACTGCCATCCACTAAAAACATCGGTCCTCCAATAGCGGCAAACGAGAGCTTCATCTTCCTTATCAACAGGTTTCTTTATACATCGCCTAGGTAAGGAAGGATTGACGGGCTAACCATGAAATTAAATCACACTTTTGTCCACTGAAGGATAGTGCGATGCGTATGAAAGCTGCAGAGTGGTCTCACTGGCTCAATGGAGTTAATGAGTGTGTGTATTTGGGCTATAGGAAGAGACTGTCCTCATCATCCACCACCAAGATAAAACACGTAAAACTAAACGAATGTCCTTATATGCATATATCCATCACTCGAAGCACGATTGCCTAGACATCGTGTGCAAGCTTATTCAAGTCGACTTTCAGGCCTTGAGCGCGAGATCACTTGACAAACTCCCATTCCTCGCCAGCATCAGTGTTTTCAGTGACTATGGCAGCGCTGTAGTTGAGATTGCCGCTTTGAGCAAGGAATCGGTCTTTGAGCTGGCCGTAGTACAGACGACCGCTATCACCCCCAAGGATCAGCATGTTGTGGTTGTTAACGCTGACGTGCTGGGAGTGGTTTCCGATGGCAGCAGTCAAAGTAACGGGATCACTGTCGATAATGACAGTTCCCTTGTTGCTGGTTCCCGACTGGCCATCACGATGGATGATGAAACGAGTTCGACTCTTGTCGTTGGCCCAGATCATCGGCTGCTTTCCATCGGCGAGAGATTTGTCGTGGGACTCGTCAAACAGCGTGTAAGAGCTATACGGTGCCACAGTCCAGAAGTAGTCTGGTCGCGACTTTGATCGGATGTAGTATCTTTCAAAAATTACATGTAAGCATGGATCTCATCAAGTTGAAAAGGCTGTTCAGGTGGAAACCTACGAGTCACCGCTGCGAACGTCAACCCTTGAAGGTTGGACATACGGCATGGCGAGCCTGGTGTCCATATTAGAGATCAGAAACCATGATGTTTCCGCATCCATTGACGGACCAAGTTTCCAAGGCGTCTCAAACATATTGTTTGGGGTCGCTACAAAAGCGGTGAGGCTGTAGAAGTCTGGAGAAATTCGTTTGACTTGGTTCGCCTGCGATGATTCAGAAACTTCGCGCCACCACTTGTCAATGGTTTCACCATCTGGCGCAAACATCATCCATCGATAAGCCAGACCGACCTTGTGGGGCTATACAGAGACGTTAGATTGCTTGGAGTTCCCAAGATATCTTTGAGGGTATACAACATACAGGGGTGAGGAACATGTAGCGGACCATGATGGGCGTAGTGTTGCTTTGGGATGTTTGGATATTATGTGTCTTGTGAAGTGAGTTTGTGATTGGGACGAATAAATAAGTTAGTCTAGGGATAGGGGGTCTTTATATGCAAGTCTCGGGCAGTAAAAGTGCCGAGTTATGTTTCAATGATAGATAACGCTGAGGTATTGTTGCTAACAGCTAGACATCATAGTGTCGCAGCATCGAGTGAGGCCGGCCAATCGCCCTCTCTGTAAGTAGTTTGACAACATGTTTTTCCCGTCAATCCACCGAGTTTGGATGCTTGCATCAATATTTCAAATGAGGCATGTTCAAGCTGATTGTGGCCAGCTGAAATGTCATTGGCATAGAATGGATGCTACAAATGCGAGTGCATCGGCATGTCAGGGAACATAGCAGGGCCACATGGCTTGAGATATCTACAACCACGTAACCACTGATCCTCATTGTCAAAGTAAGCTCTAGATCAGCGTCACATGTCGATATAATGAATGTGCATTGAAACCACTAGGTTTCTGAATCAAAAATTGCATAAAATATGCCAACGATTGAGTGGTCAGATGTAGATGCCAAGCCTCGGTTCTTGGTCCTCTATCTTAGAGCCGATGCCTACCGATTTCTTTACAACGTCATTCACCTGTAAGCTTGTGCAGCGTCTCCGAACGAGGGGCATCTTGGTGGCACCCGGGGAACCCAAAAGAGTGATCGGAATTACCAAGAGTAAGCCCGAACCATCCAATAGTTCCTTAATATTGGCTGTCGTTCCATGTGATTGGCTGTACCGGAGCAAACACAAGTGAAGATCTTAGCGATCAGTTCCGGAGAAAAGAGGCGCTTCTGCCCTTAAATCAGTCAAGGAAGGTATGGTTTGTCTGAGGCATACCCCGCGTAACGGCAGCCCCGAAGGCCCGTTCCGAGCGGGCGAGGATCATACGTCGATCTTTATGTCGATCATGCACATGTCTCAACCAGGAGACACTATTGCCCTATCAAGACACGAAGGTCTGGAGCATCTGTCTATGTTGGGTACAAGCCTCTCAATTGAGAAATGATATTAGGTTCAGGATAGCTGAGCAACATGTCCATAAAGCTTGAATCCACGCATTTCATTGCATTCTACAATGATGCTATAACGACGTAGACAGCTATAATAAAGACTTCGATTACTCTAATAGTAACCTCCGCATTCAACATGATACATCTGGTAGGCTTCCTGTGTGTAGGCTCCAACTCTGCGCCCGACCAAGTTCCACATCATCGAGATCTGGATCATATCATGTATTGCAGTCACAAGCAACAATCTGCGCAAATACACATCAGTGACGATACCTCACACCGTTTGGAAAATTAATCAAGTATATGCTTTAACACATGTACCTGTATGCTCCTGCATCACATCATCAAATCGTTCTTGACCGGGCTTCGCCGATCTCCCAGGTAGCTTGAGGCCTTTCCAGGCCAACTCCATGCTCTTTCGTCCAACCAGTAATACCCTTTGATGAGGGTGATTGTCAAGACGAATACTCATTCTAGTAATTGTAAATAACATTCGACCCAGAACATTGGCCAGTATTAGACGCAAGGAAACCATCGGCTCGGGGTAGTTGCATGTCTGCATCGCAGAATGTAGTTCGCAGAGGTCAAGCCCAGCACGTCCAACGCAAACCTTTTCAGCTGGCCGGGGTTATTTGTAAATCGTAATGGTTTCACCAACAAGATCACTTAGATGGCCGCCGAATAACTATTGCCACTTTTACATATAACAGCTTAGTTATAGCATCTACAAGAAGAGCCACTCTGTTATTAATATACAATAAGACTTATCTTAATAGGAGATACTAAGTAAACTAGATATCTCTATATTAAGATTAAAAAGATAGCAGAGATCTTATTAATAAGAAGGCTACTTATTTCTACTCTAAGTAATATATAAACCTATTATACTTATACATATACTTATACTTATACTTATAAGGCTAGCAGGAAGGCATTCTACTATTATAATAGTTATAAATATAATAGAGAGTCTTACTTTAAGGGTACTAAGACGGAAAGTGACTGCCTAGTTAGTATTACTTATAAGAATAGACGCTATTAGGTAAAGCTGTAAGATAAACCGATTTATCCTAGTAACGGCAAATTCAATAGCAAGGTCTACGTATTCAAAGCTGTTCCTATATGTCAGAACGGATCATATATCGATGGGAAGTGCATCCTCTCTCAGACTCCTTATTGTACCACTCCAGGGGCCATCTTCAGCGGTGATCACTGTGTCCTCGAGGAGCGGGCATCTTATCCCCAAGATTCCGTCCTGAGCGGTAGCAGATGCATCTCTAGTATCTTACCAAAGTGTAAAGCAGGTTAAACTTTAATTGACGACTTCTGCTTTTCCGAAAATATTCCAAAGTGTCCTCGGGGCTCAACCCTTGTTGGTCGATATTGCAAGTACCCTGATCTCCCTATCTGTTCAGAGGGCACTATCCATAACGAAAACGACTGCAACTCGCCAATTCCGTCGCAATGTCCTCACGATAGTGACACCTTCTTTAACGGCAAGGAATGCGTCTCCACCAAGCGTCCTAGTTGTACTACGGGATTCGTATTTAATGGTGTGACCTGTATCTCGGAGAAGGACACCCCGATATGCCCAAGGAGCATGCAGTTTGATGGAACCCACTGTATTTCCAAAGACCGGCCGACGTGCGAGGGTAACCAGTCTTTCGATGGCAGAGTGTGTGTCCACCCTGAACATCCCATGTGCTCCGGTGGCTTGGTATTTGACGGTACTACCTGTGTATCCAAAGACTCCCCAGTTTGCCAGTCTGGAACAACTTGGAACGGCCACAAGTGCATTTCAGACAAAGGCCCTATCTGTCCTGTCGGTATGGAGTATAACGTTGAAAAGAATCCTGTCATTCTCCCGTTAAACCCCGCTGCCCCCAGGACACAGAGCTGAGAGGAGAGGTTTGCGTCTCTGTTGATCCTCCAGAGTGTCCGAAAGACACCCATAGAGTTGGTGGAACTTGTGTATCTGTTGAGTCACCGAAGTGTCCCCCGAACCTGACGCCTAGTGGTGGTCTCTGTATTTCCAGCAGTCCACCCAATCGTGAACAAGGCACGATTTTCGATGGAAGAAGATGCGTTGTTGGCAAGACTCAGGAATGTTATACTCTGAACACATGCCCGCCTATTGGTGCCGATGGACTCCCTGCTAAGGTACTGAGCTAAGGAATGGAAAATAGTTTGGGACCACCCTTCCGAGCATATGTATCTTCCATGTTATATCACAATTGAGGTATAGTTAGTATCGATATATCCTGATGGCAGCCATCTTCAATCAAACTATCATAAGCCAACCTTTATAAGCGGAACATGCACATTGAAATCAAGTTAAACAACAGAATTCATATATATTGTGATATTTACATATTCCTTGTCATATAGATCCAAGGTTTCCTCCTCTTAGTCTTCATACTCGCTTAAGCGGTAGCACCGTTGAAGGCCATAGCGTTGGGGCTGCCGCTGAGGCTGCCAGTGACGCGGCCGGTGGTGGCAAGAGACTTGATGCGGTTGGAAACGGCAGCAGGGGTGGAAAGACCCTCAAGAACCTGGAGGTAGAGAGCAAGACCGGCAACGTGAGGGCAAGCCATGGAGGTACCGCTGATGGTGTTGGTGGCGCTGTTGGAGGTGTACCAGGTGGACAGAATGTTGACACCAGGACCGAAGACGTCGACACCGGCGCCGTAGTTGGTGAAAGAGGCGGTTCTCCAGCTGGAGTCAACGGCAGCAACGGTCAGAGCGTTGGGGACGTTGGCAGGAGACTGGCCAGAGACGGGGAGAGGACGACCGTTGCTGTCACCGTTACCGGCAGCAACAACGGAGAGGACACCCTGGCTGTAGGCAGCGTTGATGGCAGAGGTCCAGGTCTGAGAGGCGGGACCACCGAGAGACAGGTTGATGACAGAGCGGCCAGCACGTCCCTTGGAGGTGATGTCGTTGACAGCCCAGTTGAAACCAGCGAGGATAGTAGAGGTGGAACCAGTGGCACCAGCAAAGACCTTGACAGAGATGACGTTGGCCTAAGAATAGTAAGTATAAGGTTCAGATCACGTTGTAGCTTATGTGGGGTATGGTTGTACTTACACGCTTGGCAACACCATAGGTGTTGGAAGCAATGGTACCAGCAACGTGGGTACCGTGGCCAAGGGTGTCAGTGTGGGATCCACCAACAGCGTTGTAACCGAGAGAAGCACGGCCACCGAAGTCGACGTGGTTGACGTTGATACCAGAGTCAACGACGTAACCGTAAGAACCGGCACCGGCAGTGGTATCGTAGGTGTAGGTGCTGCCACCGGAAGTTCGGCGGGAGATGGCAGCAAGACCCCAAGGAGCGCTGCTCTGAGTGGTCAGAGCACGGTCAGCGAGGGGCTCAACCTTGAAGTCGAGGGTGACGGTGTAGTCAGGCTCAACGAAGGCAACCTCGGGGCTCTTCTTGATCTCAGCAATGGTAGCATCGTCAAACTCGCCAGAGTAGGCGGCCCAGTTGCTGATGTTGAACTTCTTGTCAACACCGGAGGTGTCACGCTTGCTGAGGCTGCGGCGGTGGACGTCGGTGACCCAGGCCATGTGAGCCTCGACCTTGGCCTCAGCAGCCTCGGGCTTGAGGGTGATGATATACTTGTCAGGCACGGCAGTGAGCTCCTGTCGCTTCTCGGTGGGAGCGGCGAGGACGGCGGGCAGCAGAGCTGCAAGGCCAAGAGCGATACGGCGGAAGCTAGTCATTGTGAAAGATTGAACTGAACAGTGAGAGACAAGAGGAGAAGAGGCTGTGGTGGATGAGGATAGTAAACTCCAACATGTGGTGATAGTCGTGTGTATTTATACAACGAGTCAAGATATCTTAGTCGACTTGATGGATAACGCAATCAGGCCCAATCATTGCTATCATCAACGTTGTTGCTTGCGTGATAGCGATTGAGTTGGAGACCTGGGTATTGGAGGCCATTCAGCTTCCTAAACCGTCACGGCGGCCGAGCTGTCCAAGTAAGGAAAGTGATAATGGACTGTATGTATAGTATTGAGCAAAAGTGCCTGTGCCAAGTCCGACTTGTCTGGAGTTAGCCTCCAAATATCTTGGCCAGGGATCTAGCAGGACCCTCTTTACCCCACGGTCATCTACCGGCGCTTACATTGGATAGATGAGGCTTATGCTTATCGGCGTGGCGTATCGTAAAGATAGATTAATTAAACTTTGCTTTGGGTTGGATGATTGTCGAAACAAAAATAGGTGATCTTCGTTTAGATCTGTCTATCTTCCGGGGTTAAAAACGGCTGAAAGCAGGGCTTGATCTGTTTGTTCAGATTAGAGGCGGGGTGAATATGTTGTCATCACATCCCATCACCTCTGGTCTGTCTAATCCTTCCCGTTGCTATTTCTCCGAGCGAGCTTCGCGAGTAATCCGAGTATCGGAGACTCGGCGTCCCCCGCTATCTCTCTGCATCACCGCTATCTGCCTCGGAGCAGTTGGACATATTTGGAAAGGTGGCCCGTCTCCCTCGTGCGGGAGGTTACCCCCATGTAAGGTAAGCAGACTGCCGATCCAGGTAAGGGACCAATATCACGCATAGTGATGGGATGAATTGATCGGCAGTAGAAGAGAAATACCAAGGCTTTAACCCCTGATCCTTTGGGTTGAGTACTCAGCCTAACGTGCTCGCGTGATTCGGGGGCACTTCCAATACGGGAATATGCTAAGGTTCTTATGTTTGAACTAGCAGTATGCTTAGTTTATGCATGCGCCATCCCTTGTCTAGCGTTGTGCAGTCTGACAGGGGTAAGGCTGAGGTTCCGCGAATCAAGACAAGACGCTTGATCGCTATCTCGGTATTGATGACTAGTCAGTCTAATTGTTTGCGATGTCGACCACTCTGTGCGCCTTTCGGACGATTGAATGCTGTTAAACCCGTTAAATTGGAGTACTGCTAGATAAGCAAATGCAGGCCTGGCGTTATGTACGGGTCATGTCTCACTCTTTCTAGCGAGCTTCTCAATCAAGCCACGATTGCGGGTACCTAAGATGCGATCGTCGGCCCGGCACTCACTAGTGAATGCAAATGAAATGGGAGGATGGCCATTAAAGCTCCTACGCTTTGACCGCTAATGATAGCTTCATTTCTGATGGTGCTGTAGATCACTTCGTGTAGTCTATCAACGCCAAGGCCACCGTTCAGAATAAGTAGTGAATGACTCAGATGTCTCATTTTATCTCTCATTTGTCTGCAGGTCTTTTTGATCTTGATGTCCAACCCTTGCTCGCGATACCCGTCTCCACTTTGAAAGGCATGTCTAGGGTTCGAAATGTCTCCATCACCGATGACGAAATTCGTCTCCCTGTCTGTTGAGATGGGAAGCCTGTATTATTGAAGTCGATATAAACATTGTCTCGTGAGTTCTTGGTGTGACATCCAAGACACTGGGACCTGCATAGGGGCACAGCAATCCTACACAGTTCCTGAGCCTAGGCAGCTGAGGTCTGAGTACTGCCTGCTGACTGCTTCTTGCTAGGTCACCTTCCTAAATTAAGCACCAAGATTCTCGTATAGTTGCCGCTGAGGTTACTGCGAGGCTGGTGAGACGTAGTGGTTGTGTTGCAGCGACAGTGACTCTCTTGGCAACTATCCTCGCAATCTCCTTGATAATGGGTGGCAGTCTACAAAACACTTGCCATACTTGTAATAGCTCAGACAATTAGTTCGTGTATGCACTGATTTTCTTCAGAGTTGCGATAAGTGATATCTTTACTCTGGTGAATTGATTTGGTGGCTTACTGGTATAGTTTGAGCTGCCTTGAAGGGTTATCGGAAGAGGCTATAGCAGTGCCACTTTAGGCAGGAGGTTTGCCATGTGCGTGCAACTCTGCTTACTTGAGTCCTCAAGGAGACATATTGCGGGGTAAATGTCTAGGGTAATTTATCACTATCTCAGAAATTGATTTTTGTATTTCCGGTGTATCCTTCGATGGTTGAAGATGAGGTTTTCTTTAGGAGAGGAGTTGAATGGATCTGTTTGAATTGTGCAACCTCAGCAAATCGTATCTCAAACCATCTTCTGCTTAAACCAAGATTCTATCTCCTGGTCTTTCCCTCTTTTAACTTCAATCAAGAAAGAAAACCATTGGCATGCGTAGAAACTAATTGATATCTATCTTTGAAAACGATGAGGCTCGTTGGAGTCGTAACACCGTCTGTGGCAGAATCGCCGGTTCCTTCCACTGCAATCTAAAAGCTTTACAACCCTAGATTGTAGTGTTTACGATTGAAACTCGCATTTGTTATTCAACTTTGACTGAAAGCTTGAGTTTTGCTGACATTCTCCATTGTTGTGGTGATGGAGGTTGTATAAACTCTGTCGAAGGATCCGAATCTTGAGATTCTTTTCTAGCGCGTGGCTCGCAGGTCACAAAGGCACACCAGGTAATACTATTAGATTTTCGGATTTTCCTTCTTCCTCTCGGCGATATACTAAAGCAGCTTCATGCGGCGCAATACGATTTTACCCCAGATTTCAGTCTCAAAGGTTGCTGATCTGTCGATGTAGGGTAGCATCTTACTCAGCTGTCAGCAAATGACGCTGCCAAATACCCTTGGCTATCCGAAAAACCTGCTGACACGAGCAAATCAACTCGTACGTCATACAACTATCTCAACTTACATATTGACCGAGCCATCCGCGGAGACATTGCACAACACTGCAACGCACGAAACAATCTGGTAAAATGCCGTCCCTTAATAGTTGGTACTGGAAGTTCCTTGAGAACTATGTCTACGCGGTGCCAGAGCCTCCCCCACGCAAGCGAACTAAACCCATGCAGATTTTGTGTGTGGGACCGCCGAGGTCTGGAACCGAGTCACTTCAAACGGCCCTTCTGAAACTTGGATATGATCATACTTATCATGGTTGGGATATCGTTTATGAGAACCCCCCTGCCGCATCAAAGTAGGTTCGCTTGTGCCGAAAGAAGTAAGTCATTGGTCCAACATGGGTCTGACATCTCGGTTGACGGCCCTTCTCAGATGGTTCGGTACCGTTGATGGAAATACGAACATCACCAAGGAAGACTTTGACGAGGTTCTCGGACATTGCACGGCTGTAACAGATGCCGCAGCATCCGTCTTTGCGGCTGAACTCATTGCCGCGTATCCCGATGCCAAGGTTGTCCTTAATCACCGCAAAGACCTGGATGCGTGGCATGACAGCGCTATCAAGACTTTACTCAGTGTTTGGAATAGCTGGCCTATCTGGGTTCTGTCATGCCTTGGCAAGGAGCTCTTTTGGGTATGGCATGTCTATGAGCGTTTCATGTGGCCTGGTCTGTTCCGGGCCTTGGACGGCGACATCAATACTGGAATAGAGAGGAATGGAAAATGGGTTTACAAAGGCAATCCTGGCAGATCCTGTCGATATGGCGATAAGTTGCTAACCTTTTGACTAGAACACTGCAACATGATCCGAGGCCTAGTACCCAAGGAGCGACTCCTCGAGTGGACTGTTAACGACGGCTGGGAGCCTTTGTGCAAGTTCTTGGACAAACCTATCCCCGATGAACCGTTCCCCCATGTCAACAAAGCTACTGGTTGGGATGATCGAGTAGCTGAAACCAGCAAACGATATTTGTGGAGTGCCCTACCTGGCTTGACAATCGTGACCACTGTTACAGTTGGCCTAGGAGCTGTAGCATACAAGGCTTTGAACTAAGAAGAGCCGTGCCGAAGTCAGGATGGGAGTGTGGCAAACCCCTCATTGGAACATTTGTCACAACAATTAGTAGAGGCGAAGAGACAAGGTGGGATTTGATGAAGTGATCTGTCCTTGTATGAGACCAATAGGACCATTCGAATATATCAGGGCCATTTTGAAATATACGCTTTTTTTTGTTTCTCTATAACATTGGTAAAATCTGGTTCCAACTCCCAGAGTCCAGCATATCAGAGTTATCGAACGCCGTTATGTAGAGGATAGTAAGAAATAGCATTCTCCATCCTAGGACTTGTCGAACGAGGCCAGCATTTGGTTGGATGATATCGCCATCGATAGGCCGACGCAGTTCGGTTTCTAAATCGATCTGTTATTTGTCAAGGCTAAACTTCCATACCAGGCTCTCAAGAGCTTGCGTTATTCACTTACATCAATTTCTTGATCGGCGAGTTTGAAATATTTTAAGTCTGCCCATTTCAGCAGGTTCACCCTCATACATGATTTTGAGGAATTCCTACCTAAAGTTAAATCTGGGCTCTTGCAAGCCTCTTCTGGCCAAACGATATTGATAGGTATCAGACCACCTAAACTCGCGTCGTCTTTCACATTGTCGATAAGGTATCCACCAAGCCCGGTTAACTTTGCCAACGCGTCAAGTACCTGCCGGAACTCCTTCCGTGAAGGTTTGCCATCACCTTCAAATGTCCGCATGGATTCGTGGCCCATTTCACTGTCAACGTATCCACGATACAACTCGAGAAATTTTGGCAGACTCAAACCTTTAGTCAATGGTTTGTTTGATCTTAGAAACTTGGAGATAAGTTGCAATTTAGCTGTGTCATTGAAGAGACTGAATTTCGCGCAACGAAGTTCACGTTGCAAGCACCGACGCAGTAGCCAGGATTCGACCACAAAAAGCATGCCCTTCGCGTCTTTTCGAAACTGCAGAAGGTCCTCAGCAGCAATACTGAGTATCTCTTCACCTTCTATATCAATATTCTCAAGCATTTTGCAGCATGCGTTAACAATGCGCCGGCAGAGACAAGTTGTGGCACTATCAAGAAGTGGATGTGGTTGGAAGGGACATGATGTCAGGTACCTATATCTGGACGATGGGAACATCAGACCTAGAAGATGGTATTCATGCTCGAATCCGTCCTCAATAGGCTCCACTCTACGCTCAATGGCGATACCAGTACTGATTGATAGAGCCCCAAATAGGCCTCTCAAATCAAGTTTACGACGAGGAAAGATTTCTGGTATGGCGTTGGGGATGCTCGCAAATGTCAAGGCAAACAAAGTCGTCGTGCTTGGAAAAGGAGAAATTAGACCAATGCCGCGCCTCTGATGCTTGTAAGCGACTCCAGTACATTCGCAGGACGACCAATGACCTCGGAGCGCCAGTCCTGACAGCACCGTTTGGCTTGAGACGTCGACATGGTCGATCACCCCAGCTTTCTCAAGATGATAGAGTTCCCGTCGTCGCATAGGTTCGTTGCAGCGCGCATCACACTCCATACTTATAGGGGTTGTTGAGACGTGAACAATGCCCCTTGCCTGTTTCTCGACGATAGATAGCATCTTTGGCGTTATGATGTTTCTTGAGGCCTTTTTAGAGTTCTGGTGATATCTCGAAAAAGTGGCAATTGGGCCCAACGTTGGGTGCTGGCGTACTTCGAACTGGACATTCTTAGCCACAAGTCCAGGATGTTGCTTGTCCATCCCTATAGTACGGAGGGGCTGACAGAAAAGGATTGTAAAGATATACGCGAACTGTACTTCGATAAGGGCAGGCACAGCGAGAAGATCACCTGGAAGATAGTCTGCCAGCCATGTTTCGAGAGCCGCATCGGCCAATTCCAGATGTGACAATCTAACCTCGTCAAGAAACACGAGCCATTTAGCCGCATTTGCCGCAAGGCTTCCAGAAATTTGACCCGAATGCCCTGGATCTCTTTTCGGCGAATCGTCAGATAACCTTTCATTCTTCTGATCGACCGATTCAAGATACTCCAATACATTCTCAACGGTGAGAATGGGAGTCTTGGCAACATGTAAGTATCCAAGATCCCAAAATTGCCATTTTCTCTTCGTATGCGCGGACCATTTGCCAATGGCTTCGGAATTTGACTTTCGACGTCCTGGGCCAGCCGCCAGTACAGCCTGTACTATTGTGATCAAAGCGAAACCAGCCGCCACTAGAGCAATCGTGACAGTGAAGCCGAATGTGATCGGGTCCCATTCGAACTTTGCGTCATTTTCTTTCTGTTGTTCTTCGAGGAAACTAATGATGGCGCGAAGCAAGCAGTCGGTTGAGTTTGCTTCCTCGACGCATCTTGATGAAAGTGACTCCATAAGATCGAAGTGAAGAACGAGGAGGATGATAATGAATCAAAATGCAATATACCATGGAAGTTTGTAATAATACCTTTGATGAAATAAGCGACTAGCCAGGCAGCTTTGCAGGATGGGCCGCCCGCTGCGAGCTGAACAGCTGTTCTACAGAGCGCGAGCTATTTACTGATCCCTAATTGGTTCTTATGTAATAAAAAAGGGACGTGGGACTGGTGAGTTGTGACGGTCAAATCATCGAGGGTTATCGGACAAGGATAGCTGTACGCACTGACAGCGGCCTGTGTGACCGGCCTCTCCACGTCAGCCAGGCTTGTCCAAGTGAGTATGACTTGGCACTTTTCTTCAAAAGGTAAGCTAGTGGGGGATCAGCTAGATAACATATATAAGCTATCAAGATATCCCAATTTCTTATACTTCGTCTCTTTCAATGCGATCTTATCTGATCAATGTTATGCTTATCACCAAATCCAGGTTTGCCACCAAGTGAGCCAAAGATATCGCCGATATAATTCTCAGGAGTTATCCCAGCCTCGAACCTAGAAGACCAATCCTCCAAAATCCCCTCAATAACTTTCAACCCAGTAAGGTACAGATTGCGAGTAGACGGACCCAAACCGCCCTTGTCCATAACGAAGGGAAGCTGATGGGGCTTGTCTTCATGACCACGATCAAAGTTTGAAGCAGATCGAATCAGCAAAATTCTCGAAAAGTCGACTTTTCCTTGAAGTGCTGCGTTCAACAGTCCTGCTAGGAGTGCGTTATCCTCCTGTGCTGTCATGGTATACTCAGCTTGTCCTGCAGTATAGACTCTGGTGACTCGTTCCATAGCCTCAGAGATACGATGGCCGTGCCAGAAGGTATTCGAAGACAGTACATCGCCTTCGAGAACACTCGGTTTTTGTGTAGCTGCTTGAAAGACATCATTAGGTGAGTTCTTCCACAGAGCTCGATTCTCGGCAGCTACAGTCGAATCTTCAAGGGTGACACTCTTTGCGACCGAGAAGGCATAATCTCTCAACGCAGTGTTAAGCTCGAATACCTCAGAACCATGGACTATACCAGGGAACTGATCAGGCTTATCGGCTCCCATTGGGACATATCCAGAGCCCCATTCCGAAGGAACTTCCCTTGCGTCAAATTCAAGTTGCGTGTCAACTTGAACTGCGAACCTCGCAAACGCAACAGAACCGATGGTTGCTCGCTTGGGATTAACGCCTGCGATACCGGTCAAGATGAAGTATGACTTTTTCAGATCGAAGAGTGGCGACGTTAAGAGAGCGCTGATAGATAAGGATGCATTTATCACTATTATATGTTAGCTGGGTGGTCTTGTTGGTTGGCTGAGAGTCTTACGAGCGGTGCCAACGACCAAGAGTGCAACATCCCCATTTTCAGTCACATGTATATCCTCGTAGCCTCTAGCAAGACCTGGAACGCGAACTTTTCGAGGAAACTGGATCTCACTTGAAGGAGACAGCCAATTCCTTGATTCCTCATAGAACTGATGATAATTAGACCATGATGAGTCTCACAGATGGGGTACGTACCATGGCAATCAGCAGGACTTTGGGGGTGATTTTCTGCTGACCCGAAGATCCATTTGTCAACTTCTGTTCGCTCATATTTCTTATTTGTATGTATCTATAACCTTTTGGTGTGTTATTGTAGAAAACTTTATTGAGGCAATTAGTTTGACAAGTGACACGATCTAATCTCAAGCGGGGTAGATATGGCGCGATCAGCACACCAGTCTTCTGTCTTATCTGAAATCTTGGCTCTCAACCGAGGCCCACGATATTTCCCGAATCGTACCATTTTGTATGATGTGGAAGTATAGTATAACTTCGAGCGGATGGAATACTCGTGATCACACCCAATGCTATATCAAGGCCACAGCCAGTACCATAAGCCAACCACGAGTAGAACTGGACACCCCACAATGACCGCCTTCCTCATCTGGTCTTTTCTCTGTTGTCGTCGAATAGCCATCTGCGTTTCCCGAAACTCCTTTGCTAATACGGCAAGCCTTGCCGAGTTGGCGGCTAGCTCGGCACCGCTGGGCCTCTGTAAGATGTTTTCGAACAATGCGAAGGAGTCAACGTTGGTATTGTCAGCCGGAGCTAACGGATTTGCATCACAATGTAGTTGAGCAAAATTCGTATGATCGGCTTTACCATTCTGGGGTGCCATGATGTAGAGATGAAGTGGCTGTTCTCTGGGTTGGTGGACAGATATTACCTCCAACAAAATGAAAGATGAGGTCATGGAGCAAGACTAGCCTTTAATGAGCAGATAAAGAGACTCGTGGTTCAACAGGATGAAAGCTTCATATACTATGTGCTAATTTCCTGTCTGCCTAGTCGTCAGCCAAGGCGTACTCCTAAGCCATCTCCAAGCCCCAACACCGATTACTTTCAGCTCGTACAACTCTTATAAATCACAACTTCGTCTTGGACTCCTGAAGAAGAACTCTAGAATATCGTAAGGTATTTTGACATTGGTCATCCAGTGCTCCAAAAAAAAAAAAAAAAAAAAAAAAAAAAAA